CTCCGAATGGCTGGGACATTAAGCGTGCACTCTGCCAGCGCCAGATGGAAGGAAAATTAAAATGATAAAAGTTGAGCCCGGAGCAGTGGAGGCGTAAGCATCGTGGTGGATAATCAGAGCGTGAATAATCGAGATCTCACTGTACTCAATAGATTGGGGATGTGGTTGTGAACGGAATGTGCACTGCCAACACAATAAGGAGCAGAAAAGCGATTGTCTGTGGGGTGGGAGAGAGAGAATGCAGAAAGTGGAATAGAAAGCAATTGAGTGAAGTTGAGTAATAGGAAGAGAGGGAAAAGGAAGAATAAGGAGAAGGAAAAAAGGGAGCGGAAAGGAAATGGCGAACAGTGTATCGGTCGGTCTGGCAGCTGTAGAAATTTAAAGGCAGCTGTTCAGTCATCCGTCCCTGAAGAGCTGAAGTGACCTACTCTGATATCATCTTTCTTACCAGCAGTGCAGAGTGCATTCTTGCAGACAGGCTCTTGTTGAATCGCAGAATTTAATGTGCTGGTATCTTGAAAGGCTGAAAAGATGTGGGGAACGGAAGTCATCTGGGGAAGCGGGCGGTATCTGGGGATGGTGCAATGGAGGATATCTGTCAAGGGCAACAGAATGGGGCAGTAGAGGTTTCCAGGGGTGAGCAGAAAGTGGGGGGAAGTGGAAGCTGAAGATCTACAGAAGGAGTAAAGAATGAAAGACAGACAGCCCTTTCTGAGGTTTATTATTACCAGTCAAAAAGACTCTGTGGAGTCCTGTAGCTCAGTGGTTAGAGCACTCACTTTGCAAGCGAGAGACCTGGGTTCGATTCCCGGCAGGATGAAACCTTGGGCAAGTTTCCTTACTCCACATGCCTGATAATAATCCTTCAAGAAAAAACAATAATAAATTGGTCATTTTCAATCCACGACTGTTTGTAGGACACTGCTGTGCGCAATTGGCTGCTTCATTTTGCCCACAAATATACAGTCAATTCACTTTACAGTCTATTCTATGAAGCGCTTTGAGACATCTAGAAGACGTGAAAAGCGCTATATCAAATGCATACTATTATTATTATTATAAAAGAGTATTGATGTCAGGGTAAGACTCCCAGATTTGAAGTGCTCTGAGTGTAACTTTAAACTGTGCTTGTCTCAGAAACTCATGAATAAATCTCTCTTGTAAATTGTCTGAACCTGACGTCCTTTGAAGTGTACAGATCAGCGAGACACTTTCAAGCAGCAATGCAGTGGCTGAGTACAGATGCACTGGTGCAGTATTATTGCAGCAGATCTACAAAGATGATCAATTATTTACAACTTTTCCATTCCTCTCGAATCTTAAAGCTCTGAGGATTGCAATTCTATGGTTTGCTCACCCTTCAAATGTTAGACCACACGCTGAGTGTCGCTGGCCATTTAAGCATGACTGAGCATGGCTGTCTGATTCACTACTATTCCCAACAGGAAAGGGAGAGGTAGTGCCGGAGACGGGCATTGTTGCTGAGGTGGGAGAGGGCAGAACAAGTCAAGGCTTGGATCTAGGGTTTAAAAGTCAGTTGATGATCAAACAAGACACCAAGGTACTGGCTCGGTGAGGTGGAGAGTGCATCCATGAACAGTGATGCTGTCAGCACCAGAGGTGAGGAGGTGCTGATGGGAGGGAGGGCAGACTTTCGACATTCAACTAGAGGAAATTCACATTCTAGATTGACATATGAACTAGAGTTCACATTCTAGATTTATATTCCAGTGCAGTAATGGGGGAATGCTGCATTGTTGGAGGTATTGTCCTTCAGGTAAGATGTTGCATTGAAGTCCTGTCTGTCAGTTCTAGTGAACGTTAAAAATCCTACGACATTACTCAAGAAGAGAAGGGAGTTTCTCATGCATATGTGTACATATAAGATAGTGAGCATTGGCAGGCTGGTTTGTGTGGTTTAATCACAACCTCTTAACCACTTCCTCTTTGAGATACACAAGAGTCACTGGATAGCCATGAGGAGCAGGAATGCGAGCTTTCCTGGGTTGTTGAAACCAATTTCAGCCATTATGTTTGAGATCAGCTAACTCCATGTCGACAAGGATCAGCGAACTAATCCTTTCAGCACAGAGACACTGAGCTCTGCACGCGTTCAGTCTTTATAGCCATGTTTTCCTGGGCGTGCCTATGATTTAAGTAATCGTTTCTTTCATACAATTATTTTGAAATGAGTGAGAATCCTGGCGGACAGGAGGCAATGTCAATATTGGCAAGTGTGAATGAAATAACAGGGTTAGTCTCTGTGTGAAGTGCAAAGCGAATGCTGTGACTAGCCCCTGTGGGGAACGCTGCTTTGAATGTACAGGAGCCCCTCACGGTTGCTTTACAGAGTCCCCTCGTCTGACCTTGAACAAATAAGCGATTCATTATTCTTCTCAGTCTGAAATGATTGGAATCTTTACGCTGAACCATTTTTGAATGAACTTTGCTACCCTGGTTAGCAGCCTATCTGTGGGGAATCCAGTGAGTGACAGTCGGTGACATAAAATGGCTGGAGATCAAGTGCCATTAGCATATTCCATCAGTTCCTGCATCTCTGCATCCTGCCTGCTATTGAGTGCTGTCAAATCAGACAATACTCTTATAGATTAACAGAATGAACCTTTTGTGAGATGTAGATTCCGCTGCGTTGCTCTGGTGCTCGGCACTTCAGTGCATGTTATGGAGTTCAAGAATTCCATAATTTTGAAGAGCGTGTGTGAAAGTGTAGCCTGACCAAGGCTTGAGCACTGCTCTCATACGTGGGGAGATTCAGTGTGTACCTCCAGGTCAGAATACAAGGAAGTTAGTTTACATCAAGGTGATTTCCCTTCGCTGACCTCTGGCTCTCTCCTCGCTTGTCACAATACGCTGTTACTTTGGTCATCGATCCTCTGACGGTCCATTTCCTGATCCTCTTTTTAATTGTTAAATGTGTTTTCCCACCTCACCTGGATTGCTAAGTAAAACAAATCATTGTATTCATGACAAATTTGCAACCTGTATTTACCCCACCGCATGCTGTCCTCCCCTCTTCCCCCACTGTTGAGCAGGGCACCATCTAAAAAGTTGGAAGGGATTTTATTGAAATATGTTATTTCTGGCCTCTTGAGTTCCAAAATGGTGGTTTTACTTTGGGAGATTATGAATGTGCTACATCAGTTACTAATGGCTTGAGTCTGGATTCTGGGTAGATGATGCATTGGGTCTTAAAACACAATTATTGATTTCCTGTCTTCACAACCCAGCTTTATTGTAGGTTTTAGATGTGGCACAGAGCAGGCTAAGCGCTGCAGTTTGTTTTTCTAGCATGATTTATAAATGCCGAGTGTGATCATCTATATACTCCATCTGTTATTAATGCAGGGCCGACGCTATCTTACTACAACAACAGTATGTCCCAAGGCGCTGGAAAGTCAAGGATTTGTTCTCGTAGCTGGGGGTTGGGACAAGAAGGGATGGAGGGTGGGAGTAGGAGGGTAACCGAAGGTGTGGCCGAAGAGGAGGGTCTTGAGACTGGTCTCAAGGGAGGGGGCAAGGCGAAGGGACTGTGGAATGGAGTTCCAAAGGGTGGGAGCAGAAAGGCTAAAGGTCCGACCGTCGATGGTCAGGAGGTAGGCAAGAGTCTGCTGAGCGGACAGAGAAGGGCATCTTTACTGATCACTGCTGGTGTACGGAAGCGGTGGGAAGTGGAGGTGATGAGAGCACCTCCACCCCCCTCCAGGGCTGTCATGCCCTGTGCTGAATGCTGGTTCGTCACCAGCTTCTGCTCTGCAAAAAAGTCTCCAGCTCAGGCCTGAAGTGAAGTAAAGTAGGAATTAGTGGAGACACAAGCGGTGGCAGATTGTTGTGTGACTTCACTCTCATGCCACGGTTTGACCTCCAATAACTTTACTTTGCTTCCAATAGGATAGCGAGATTAGAGCCATCATTATTCCCCTTCAGCCAAACCAGGTGTGAATACTGCAGCAGCCCGGCACCTCATTCACCCCAGCCTTCTTTCTCTTCTAACATAGATTCCACACTCCAACCTTTTTGGTCTTCCAACAAAATAAATAGCTGCTAAATACAGTTTTAGCCTCCCCCCCCACCCTTGTCTTTAATTCCGAACTTGAGCCTCACCGCAAGGCAGCAGACATGAGGAGCAGTGAGTTCTCAGACCTGTACGCTAAAGCCAGGACATTGGTCTGGCTCTCGTGTGCCATTAAATATTGTTTTTCTTAAACTGTAATTCACATCAGTCTTTAAAGATCGAGTAAACCGTGTTCTAATCTGTAATCCCGACGTGAAAGGTGCTTTACAAATGTCATTTTTTTTTGTCTCTGTTTGTTTGTTGTAATCAGATTTGTAGTGACAGCTTCTACAAGAGCGTTCAGACATCTAAACAAGATCTCTTCAGCTGAATTCAGTGACAATGTGGGGCTGCCCAGTGAGAGTCAGAGCAGAGTTTATAACAGGGAAGCCTTTGGGATTGCATTTGGCCAACTTGCTGGTTGCCCACTGGGATGGTTTCCGTGAAATTGGAAGGGACTGACATGGGATTGCATGTTCTCCCCCTTCCCCCCCCTCAGACAGACACTATGTGTTGTAATTTAATAATGCTTGTACTGTATTTGATATATTGCCTTATCATGTTGTCAACATCTCAAAGTGCTTTGCAGTATATTATAATTGGTGTGACTGTATTTTGTGGACAATCGTAACCAGTCGTTTGCACTAGGCTCCCAAATGGTTTTCCTGCATGTCGTGATTCTGCCATATTGACTGTGGATCATGCATAATTCTCAGAAATCCCTGAAAATTAATTGGGGGAAGGGGTGGGGTGTCTTTCTGGAGTTTATTTTCAGTGGGATGCTGTAAGCTTTGATGCCCCCGTGATGATGTTGCCTCTGTCTTGTTCTGGGTTCTTGTCCATAAAGTGTTAGTTGATTCCCTGAACAGGGTTCTGCTTGCACACACTCAGTGGGCTCGGAATGAACTGGCATGGTTTTGTGTTGCAGGTTACGTACTCGGGAGGAAGTAAGTGCTTCAGCTGTTCCTCAGTGGCCGAGAGGGACAAGTGGATGGAAAACCTTCGGAGAACAGTGCAGCCAAATAAGGTAACTATCATGCCTTAGTGACAACTTCATCAAACGATTACTGTCCTTCAGTCTGACATTCTTAGTGGCAACTCGATTATCTATTCTAAGCTGCTGCACTTCAGACGCTAGTTTTGGTTAACATCACTAGTAAGATTAGGTAAACCAGGTGGTCGATAGAGGATGTGATCTCCAGTTATCAACAGTTTGTTTCAAGTTGTTCTATTATATGGAAGCACTAATAGAAGAGGAAGGATGGATGTTAACTCAGGGTATCAAGGGATATAGAGCAAAGGCGGGTAAATGGAGTTACGGTACAGATCAGTCATTTTCTAATAGAATGGAGGAACAGGCTCGAGGGGTTGAATGAAGGAGAGGTGGGATTAATCTGTTCGCAGCCTGTACTATTAATAACATATAAAAAGGATTTTTCTGATGGTCTTGGTAAAGCACCACTGCCGCAACACTTGTCATTGAGTCTGCAAGGTTACAGATTCCAATGTTGGTCTGTGCTGAGCTAGTTGCTGTCAGCTGGGACAGCTATTGGTCTACCCTGAGTTAGGGAAGGCGAAATCAGCCAGAGTTGCTGCTGCTGCTGCTGATCACAATCCAGCGAATCCCCCTGTTAGATTTACGTGGTGTGTGCACATCACTTGAGGATAGGTTCAGGCTCGGCTGTGATGGTTGAAACACATGCATGTTAAAACACACTATCTACGTTCATGCGTAAGTAATGGATGGTGGCATGAGTTGCCCAGGAGGAGAGGGGTATAACTGTCTGGAACCACATCCACAAAAGAAAAAAAAATTAAGACATCTTCTGGAAAGGAAGAGGGAAGATTGACAGAAGAAAGATGTGTTGACAATGTCCTTAATGCTGTATCTGCAGTGACATTGGCAGATGCAAAATATGTTCTTAATTTGGTTTGAATGATCACTTCAGTGGTGCTACTGATTTAATGTCCAGATCATTATGTTAATGCTGTTATTCACCTCTCAGCCTTATTATAGTGCTGTTGGGACTGTGTCTCCTGTCTCCAAGCACTGTAGGACCTGCAACTGGTGGGTGCATTCTGATTTTGCCAATCTTCGTATCTGTGGCTGACTCGTTTTACTTTTATATGCAATTCGCTGTCGTAGTCTGTTTATTTTAAACCAGGTCTTTTCATTGCGGCTTGCCAGCAAGTAAATGCTGATGTGTTTTACCAGATGAATAAAGTGTACAGTGTTTATTGGATTGCATGAGGCTGATGTGAATTCCTGTTAGCGAGACTCTTCCAAACCTGCAGCATGTTACAGTGTGCCTGTCTGTACGTGGCAATACTATGTCTCGTGCCCTGTTTATATTGTCAGCCTGGCATGACCATATGAGCAAACTGAATTTGATCCTTTGGCAGTTTCCACTGTGAATCCAACACCCAGTCCACAGCTATGACAGCCGTTACACGTTTTTTTTTTTATCTCCAGCATCCCTTTGGAATACAATGACTCCTGCTTGTTCAGATCAGACATTTGAAAATGTGTCTGTTGCATCAGTACAAATTTGCACCAAGAATTTCAATTCAATGGGGTTTAAACTCAACGTGGTCAAATCGACTGCTAGCTGTTTAGGCTATTGGTGCTGATAATGTATGAGTGTACATAGTGCTGTTGAACCTATGTCCTTTTGTGTATTCCATTGCTGCTGATTGTTACAGAAGTCTTCCATTTGTGAGTTTAGCTTTATCTGTTCTGTTGAAGCGTATGTTACTTTATATATAGGCGACGCACATAGTAACGTCTCTTTGTTTTTCAAATAAATTCTTGGAGAGCAGAATAGTTTGGATCTACAAACTGCTGTAAGTCAGGCTAAGCTATTAATAGCACACAGAGGTCATGCGGAAACTCACATTCTGAATCCAGTCTGCTCAGTTGCATCCAAATGCAGCCTGAAACGCACTCGCTCACTCACTCTCCCACCCACCTACACACCCACTCACTTTCCCATTCCATTGACCTTCACTGTAGTTTTGGTCCTGAGCTATTCAAAGAACTTGAATTCCCAGCAGCTTTACACTTCAGGTAGTTGGTAGGAAAAATCCCATGTCTAGCTCAGTACTGCTGAATCCTGAGAGACTTTAGTAGAAGCTGTTCAATGATCTGTAGTTTCTTACTCTTGGAGCCATTATTTTTAAATTTATTTTTAGGGTATGAAATGCTCTCTGTTCTCCCAGATCATGCCCTAGTGTGTGAGGATGGGTAGGTAGAAACGTAGAAATTTCAGATTAGAATTGTAAGATTCTATGATTCTATAAGAGCAGGGGAGTGGGATTAGCTGTAGCTCTTCCAAATAGTCAGCACAGCCTCATTTGGAAAAGTCTAAACGGCTGTACATTGAGCCAATAATAATTATCAGAATGTTGCCCTAGTGCTACGAATTAATCAAAACGTTTAAACGTGAAACCTGAAAACTCCCCAAAACACAAAATAAAATTCTAGACCTGTATGGTTCTTGATGGAGCTGCATTTGTTTGTGACAATTTAAGTGCCTCCAGCATAAGCCCTCCATTCGCTTTGAATTTTAATCTTCATCAGGAAAGAAGATGGTGGATTAAGCCGCTAGCATCTTCAATCAGCCCCAATCAGTCTCACATATTGCAAACACTTTGGAAGAGACGGTGCTCATTCAGGAGCACATTCACTCCCCTCTCAACATTACCAGATGTTCATTGCACTGTGAGCAAGTATTAGTCAGCTGTTTGACCCAGGAATAGCCAGCCTCATCATAAAACGCTGCTATCCAAAACAATTTGAAGCCATTTATAATGTTTTACCAAATGCAGCAGGAATGCAGCAAGCGCGAGTCACATTAGCAACAGTCAGCGAAGTCTCCTTAAAGGGGTTCAGCCTTCATAACATGGATCATGTAGCTCGGAGACAGGGGAAGGTCACTTTAGAGGATGAACGGCTATACAGGTTTCTTCAGAGTTGCAAGTCCTGTGTTGCCCCATTGTCCGGGAGAGTCATTAACTGAATGTTAGGCATTTTTCTATAGGAAGGAAATGGCAAGTACAGGTTAACCTGCTCTGGTCTGGCCCTTCACACCCCTGCCTCTAAGGTGATAATTAGCAAAAGTCTCAGAGCCTGTTATATAGAGTTGGATCCTCTAACGAAGTGGCTGTTAGTTATTGATTCACATATTGTTCACGTTCACAGGACAATTGTCACCGAGCAGAAAACGTGCTCCGTCTCTGGATTATCGAAGCAAAAGACCTCGCCCCTAAAAAGAAGTACTTTTGTGAACTCTGCCTAGACGACACACTGTACGCAAGAACTACCAGTAAAATAAAAGCCGACAATTTGTTCTGGGGCGAGCACTTTGAGTTTTTCACTCTGCCGCTGGTGAGGAACATCACGGTGCACATTTACAAGGACGTAGACAAGAAGAAAAAGAAAGACAAGAACAATTATGTGGGGCTGGTTAACATTCCCATCGCCAGTGTCACCGGGCGGCAGTTTGTGGAGAAATGGTACCCGGTCAGTACACCAAACGCCAGCAAAGGGAAAGGCGGAGGTCCGTCCATCCGCATCAAATGTCGCTACCAGACCATCTCCATCCTTCCCATGGAGCAGTACAAGGAGTTTGCCGAGTTTGTCACCAACAATTACACTATGCTGTGCTCTGTGCTGGAGCCAGTCATCAGTGTGAAGAACAAGGAGGAGATGGCATGTGCACTTGTTCACATTCTGCAAAGTACTGGCCGAGCCAAGGTAAGCCCTGAACCTAATGCTCCCTGATACATCTCCACTCCCACAATCACTCATTCTCTCACTCTCACATACAGGCAAGTTTCCTTTCACCACATGCCTCTGTTTACCCAGCCATAAGTAGGAACCCGGTTGTAATTGGATGGGTGGATTTCCGGGGGTAATAATTCTCTCTCCCCCTCACCCCCCAAAAAAACAATTGGGTCACTGAATCCATGACTTTGCGGTTGCTGTGCGCAATTGGCTGCCACATTTTGTTCACAAAATATACAGTCACTCCACTTTACAATACATTCTGTGAAGCACTTTCAGACATCTCAATGATGTGATATGACATTATATCAAATGCAAGTATTATTATAACCTCACACACTCATACATATCGAGGTTGTACACACTAGTTTTCATCCAAACTCACATCTGTACTCTTTGACGCCTATCATCTCTCACATACACACTTAGTCTCTCTCACACACACAGGGAATTCAGTAAAATATCTTGCCGTATAGTGTGCTGTCCTTGTTCATTCAGCATGATTGCTTTGCCACACGGCACTCAGATTGTTTGTCTTGTACACACATTGTCTAAAATTCACTGATTGAAATGGCATTGGGATGAGGGGGTAAGAGAGATCTCACACTGGGTGAGTGGGGCAGATAATTCACACTGGAATAGGTGGGAGAGAAAGACATTGGTTGTTCTGAGACTTTTGGGGCCAGAGTACACAACGCCATATTCTGCGGGGGATCAGGTTGTAATGCTCAACCATCTCTGGCCTGCCCTGTGTTTCCCGCCCAGCCAGCCCCACCCCACCATCATCAACAACAACAACAACAAGATTCCATTTATAAAGCGCCTTTCACGTCAGGAGGACGTCCCAAGGCGCTGCACAGTTGGGTCATGACCCGAGCAGGGGGGAAATGGTCAGGGTGAGGGGAGGGAAGGGAGGGAGCGAGGAGGGGGGAAATGGTCAGGGTGAGGGGAGGGAAGGGAGGGAGCGAGGAGGGGGAAGAGAGTCGAGAGGGGAGCTGAAGCACGGTCAAAGAGAAAGGTTTTGAGACCGGCCTTGAAGGAGGAAAGGGAGGAAGCAAGGCGAAGGCACTGGGGGATGGAGTTCCAGAGCCTGGGGGCTGAGAGGCTGAAGGCCCGACCACCGATGGTAGGGCGGTTGGGGCGGGGGACGTGGAGCAGTCCTTCAGCCTTTCTGCCCCCGCCCTTTGCCACGACCCCACCCTTGGCTCCTTCAAGGCCCGTCTCAAAACCCTCCTCTTTGACCACAACTTTGATCACCCTCCTACTCCTACTCTCCATATCCTCCAATCCTGATCCCAACCTCGAGCTCGGATGCAAATCCTTGACTATCCAGCGCCTTGGGAGCTTCCTTCCAATGTGAAAGTCCCTGTGCAAAGGTAATCTGTTGCTGTTGTTGTACTTGCTTAATAGGCTGATACGGGCAAAAATAGATATCCAGCCTGCACTTGCTTTCCTTGTTGGGTGGGGGAAGATGCTGGACAAAAAAAACATGCCTTGTTAACCAGTTTCTTCAATCATCTTTGTCTGAAACTAACGCTTGCTTCCTGGCGCAGCTTGACTCAGCTAAAACAATTTGATTAGAAAAGCTACTTAAATTAGAAGCAACAAGGCTCCGGATGACTTCAGTGATCATTTGCAGCACAAGCAGCTTGTTTACAAAGCTCTCCCCACGGACCATTTCTCCTGCTTCCTTTATAGCCAAAACTATGATTGAAGCAACTCCTGAGAGTCCCCATCTCTTGTTTAGAGTTTTAATTTTTCACTTGATTACTGTTCGTGCAGCATTTGCCAGAGCTGGCTGGCTTTGCTTTCTCTGTAGGGATCCTGGCCTTCGACTCTCCGTTTAGCATTCAGTAAAATATTGAGGGTTGTTGCTTCCCGTTGCAGGGTGGTGAAATTCTCACTGCAGCCCAGAGGTTAAAGGGCTCTCTGCCAAAACATGCTCACAGCCACTGTGCTTGTTGATCGTTAAGTGGAATGAGGAATTACAATGCCGAGCAATTGGAGCCGTGATTGAGAAGCCCGATCCCAGGTCAGGCAGCTGGCAGGAGTCAGCGAGTCTGTGATGGACTGACTCGCTGTACGCTCAGCGTTTGGGAGCAGTTATCAGCTGTTTTCAGATTACTGAGAGCTGAACGACAGAACCTAATCTGCCACAATTGCTGTACAGTTTAGTAGTTTTACTGGTAACGAATGTGTCAGTTATAATTTTTGATGTGTTTTTAAATCTTCGTGGGGCCAGATCAGAACTCCACCTTATTCATGTTCAATCCACCTCCCCGCAGCGCTGCACAGTTAATATAATATAATTATAATAATCCTTGTATTTTGATACAGCGCCTTATCACGTCAAAGCACTTCACAGAATATACTGCAAAGTGAATTAACTGTATATTTTGTGGGAAACGCGGCAGCCGTGAATTGATTGATCAAATAACTTATTTTTCTTTCGAAGGGATTATTTCCCCTCGGAAAAATAATCCACCAATCAACTAACAACCGGGTTCCAAAGTAAAGAAACTCCAAGTGCCTCTGTTTACCTAGCAATAAGTAGGAACCCTCCCTTGTTGCACTCAACCCAGTTAGAGATCACGTAAAATCATCAAGGCTTTGTTAACACCATTTTAACTTTAAAATTTAAGGTCGGGCAGGATTTTGGAAAATTCTTAAATTTATTCTTAATTCAATGCTGGTTTTCCAGAGTTTCTTTTAACAACAACAGCAACAAGATTACATTTGTATAGCGCCTTTCATGTTGGGAGGACGGAAGGCGCTGGATAGAGTACAGCATTTCAGACCCGAGCTGGGGTCAGGGTGTGGGAAGGGAGGGGAAGGGAAGGGGGGGTGGCCGATGGGATGGTCAAAGAGGAGGATCTTGAGGCGAGACTTGAAGGAGGCTAAGGAGGGGGTGAGGCGGAGTGACTGAGGGATGGAATTCCAGAGCTTGGGAGCAGAGTGGCTGAAGCCTCTCCCGCCAATGGTGGGGCGGATGGGTCGGGGGACATGGAGCAGGTCAGAGCCGGCTGAGTGGAGGGAACGGGCGGGTTGGTAAGGGGTTAGGAGGTCGTAGAGCTAAGGTGGGGCGAGGCCATGGAGGGCTTTGTATGTGAGGACCAGAATCTTGAACTGGATCCTCTGAAGGATAGGGAGACAATGGAGTCGGGGGAGATGGGGTCACCGAGTTTGGTGCGGGAGAAGACACGGGCTGCAGAGTTCTGGATTATCTGAAGCCTGTGGAGGGAGGAGTTGGAAAGGCCGACAAGTAGGGCATTTGCATAGTTGAGCCTGGAGGTGATGAAGGCATGAACAGGACTTTCAGCGGCCTGAGGGGTGAGGTAGTGGCGGAGTCGGGCGATGTTACGGAGGTGAGGGAAGGCAGAGCGGGTCATGGCTTGAATGTGGGGGAGAAAAGACAGTTGAGGGTCGAACAAGACACCGAGGTTCCTGACTGGCTTGGTGAGTTGAAGTGTGCAAACATGGAGGTTGATGCTGCCAGAGCCTGAGGTGCTGAGACGCTGGCGCAAGCCGATCAGGAGGGCTTCAGTTTTGTTCACATTCAACATTAAAAAAAAGGCTTCCAAATTAAGACGAATTTGGGGAATTTTTCACAATTTTGCATAGTCTTAAATTCTAAGATAAAATGATCTTCTAAACTAAGACTATGGGGGAATTTGAGGTTTCTGATCTTGATGGTTCATTGGATAATCTCCCTGAGGCTCAAGAGCCAGAAATGGAATGATGAAGTTCAGCCATCGTGGAATCTTTAACATCCACCTGATAAGCCAGAGACTCGGTTAACTCAGTCTGTTAATAGATTCAGTACTCACCCAATACTGCACTGGAGTATAAGATGTGAACATGTCCCTAGATTGGGTTTAAAACTACAACCTCCTGAGGTGAGAGTATTTCCAACTGACCCAAATCCACAGCACACAGAACATGGAGAAGCTGACAACGAAAGGAATGCCTCATCTACAGACCTGTGGCTACAAGTGCCAGCTTCTTGAAATCTTAACACCAAATAAAGTCAGATCAGCAATTGATAAAGACATATGTCAGATCTTAACACTTGCAGGAGAAATATTTCCTGATATCCTTCGTAGGGATCAGGATGATGAGGATTTGGAAATGTCATCCTGAACGCTTGCCAGTGACAACTGAAATGGGTTCACTTCAGGTGCAAGCATTGACTCCCGGTTTGTAAACTTTATCTGAACCTCTGTGACTGGGGACGCTGGACTGAGTTGCCTTGGAGCCTGTTGAGCCATGCTCTTGTTTTAGGATTTCTATAGACTTGGGAGCAAGCAGCCAGTGGTTTGTAACCTTGTTTGGAAACACTGCACCCACAAAGGGCTGGGAGAGTCAGCGTCCCATCGGAATCCAATGTTCCAACCCAGCAGAGAAATAGCAAAAGTACAAAGATGCAAAAGCTGCAACTGTATAGGGCCCTGGTGAGACCACACCTGGAATACTGTGTCCAGTTTTGGTCTCCTCATTTAAGGAAGGATGTACTTACCTTGGAGGGGGTGCAGCGTAGATTTACTAGGTTAGTACCAGGGATGAAGGAGTTGAGTTACGAGGATAGGCTGAACAATTTGGGCCTATATTCTCTAGAATAGAACAGTGTTCACTCATAGAAACCTATAAGATCATCAAAGGGCATGATAGGATAGATAGTGGGACATTGTTTCCCCTGGTTGGAGAAACTAAAACCAGGGGTCACAACCTTAAAATCAGAGGCCAGCCTTTTCACACTGAGTTGAGGAAGAACTTCCTCCCTGGTGAATGTATGGAACTCACTACCCCAAAGGGCTGTTGACGCTCAGTCCTTGAACATATTCAAGACTGAGATAGATTTCTTATTGCAAAAGGGATTAAGGGATATGGGGATAAGGCAGGGTCAGGTTATTAGCTGGAGTTAGATTAGAAGATCAGCCATGATTGAATGGCGGGGCAGGCTCGAAGGGCCGAATGGCCTACTCCTGCTCCTACATGTTATGTTATGATATGTTATACATTAAACCACACTTTTCGTTATGTTATGATATGTTATACATTAAACCACACTTTTCATATAGTGTCTAAAATGTTGAAACGTCTTGACGATGTGATACGATGCTATATCAAATGCACAGATTCTTATTTTTATATTACCTGTGCAAACCCTGCTTCACTGAGAAAAGAGTTTGTATCAGTCCTGTGTATAGGCCACAACAGATGGCTATAAAAGCTTTTGATTCTCGCGTAATGATCTGTTACTTGCTTCGCTGGGAGAAAAGACGGACTAGGTAGTGTAATTCTCTGGATCCTGCCAAGAGAAGGTATTTGTGGTTAGTTTTGTTAGTTTGGTCAGCTGGGCGTCTGACACATTCAGAAACCCATCACCATGCTTAAAAGAGTATCCGAACCAAGCTGAGAATACTGTGCATCCTACCTACACATGGAAATTCCAGAGATAGATTATTGGAATGGAATGCACACACTCTCCCGGAGGAACCCATTTTGCTAACCTAATTCCGGAAAGCATTAGTTACAGGCTGGCAAGAGCCAATTATATGGGTTTGCAGAGTTATAGGGTAAGAGTGGGGGAGTGGGACTAGTTGGATAGCTCTTTGAAAGACCAGGCACAATGGGCCAAATGGTCTCCTTCTGCGCTGTAAGATTCTACGATTCTATGAATCACTTCTGTTTGCAGTTCCTGAGTGAAGTGAGGTTTCTCAGCTAAAAGATTGATGATGTTTCACCTTTCAGGATTTCCTGACTGATCTGTTGATGTCCGAGGTGGATCGATGCGGGGAACACGATGTTCTCCTCTTCAGGGAAAACACCTTAGCAACAAAAGCCATAGAGGAATACTTAAAACTGGTTGGTCAGAAGTATCTCCACGATGCCTTAGGTAAGTGCTGCTGATTGTGAGCTGCATTGCTCTGTGTCATTTTGTCAAACACACCAGTAATAAGCAGGGGAAACTGAAGTACAGTACAGTGTTCACTCATGCAAGTCACATCCTTGCAACAGAGATACTGATGTGCAAGAGAAAAACAGGACCACGAGATGCATAGGATCTTTTAGTTCCCAACAAACCCAACTGTTTAATCAGTTCAGTTAATGAAACACAGTCTCAAGCAAATGAAGCTACCCTGAGGGTTATACTCACCCGCCCCAATCTCGGAGATCACACTGCATTGTTTGTGTCCCCGATCTGTCATTGTAAATAATAATCTTTATATTTGAAGCAGAGGGGAGGTTAGAAGAAATTTTTTCACTCAGCGAGTTGTTCGAATTTGGAATGATCTGCCTGAAAGGGTAGTGAAGTCCGATTCGATAACAGTTTTTAAAAGAGAACTGGATAGGTATCTGGTGAAGACTGGTTTGCAGGGTTATGGGGAGAAAGCTGGTGATTGGAGTTAGTGAAAGTGACTTGCTCTGTCCAAGAGCCGGCACAGACTCGATGGGCCGAATGGCCTCCTTCTGTGCCGTAACATTCTATGAATCTATGAATATAGGGACTAATCACGTTGTTGAGAAGTCTCTATTTTTTTGAGGGATTATTACTTGCCTAAGGTTTCGCCCCTGCCCGGGAATCGAACCTGGGTCCTCTCCCTTGTGAGGCGAGCGCACAAACCTTATTTGGTTTCTTTCTGCCACGTATCTTGCTGGAGTTCAGTTGGGTTGGGCTCCACATTTGGTCCACATGAGTTGTGCCGTCCACAGGTTGGGATTGATGTGCTCAGTTTGGCTCAGCCCATGGAGATGGAGCCTTTCATTCTGACCTTAATGGGTCATCCTGTGGCTGGTCTTACCAGGAATTGTGGTTGAGACCATTTAAAAAATGACTGGACTCATTTATTAAACTTAAATTAAATTATTATTTATTCATGCTGTGAATGGAAGATGGTTGGACGGATATTCTGAAGATCAAATGGGCCGAAAGGTCTTCTTCATTCTTCATCCAAACCGATCTTGTGAATTACTGTAGGGCTGAGCGAATTCCATCTACATAGCACTCCTGCAAAATTGCCGACAATGTAAATGGAGTTCCTCTGGGAATGTCAAATGTATGTCTGATCACATCCTTGGTGCAACCTTTATTTGTGGGCAGGACTTGGATTTGTATAGTATATCCCCTGTGTTGCGGGCAGTTACAATCCAGGAATTTACTACTGGATTATCTAAATGTTAATTTGCTATTGTCGGATTGTCAGGCTCTGCCACCCATTACCCAAGTTAGTCTGTGCTGTTTGTTATATGTGCTAATTCTCGTGGTTTGTACCTTGTTTCAGGAGAGTTCATAAAGGCACTTTATGAATCAGACGAGAATTGTGAGGTGGACCCCAGCAAATGTTTGTCGGCCGAACTGCCGGAACATCAGTGTAACCTGAAGATGTGCTGTGAGCTGGCGTTCTGCAAGATCATCAACTCTTACTGGTGAGAGAGCTCTGCTGGACAGGCAAAACTCAATACTAGCCGCATGATGATAATCCTTGTATTTAATGGAGTGTCCTTTTACATCAAAAGTGCTTCATGGAGTTTTCTAAGGTGTATTGACTTGTGTTTTTCATGGCCTTGATTGTACATTTCAATTGCACATTTCAATTGCACATTTGTATAGCGCCTTTCACGTCGGGAGGACAGTTTCGGACCGGAGCTGGGAGTCGAGTTCGGAGAGGTTGGAGGGCAAGGGGGGACGGAGGGTGATCGAAGTACGGTTGAAGAGGAGGGTCTTGAGATAGGACTTGAAAGAGGCAAGGGAGAGGGTGAGGTGGAGGGACTGCAAGATGGAGTTCTAGGGGGTGGGGGCAGAGTGGCTGAAGGCCTGCCCGCCAATGGTGGGGTAGGCGAGTCGGGAGATGTGAAGCAGGCCGGAGCGTGCTGAGCGGAGAGCCGGCAGGTTGGAGGGGGTTAGGAGGTTGCAGAGGTAGATGGGAGCAAAGTACCAGGATCTTGAACTCTGTGTGATGGGAAACCAGTGGAGTCAGGTGAGGATGGGGGTGATAGGGTCGCAAAGTCTGTTGCAGGAGAGGACACGGGCTGCAGAGTTTTAGATGATCTGCAGCCTATGGAGGAAGGAGTTGGGGAGGCCAACAAGCGGGAAGTTTGCATAGTCGAGCCTGGATGTTATGAATGTGTGTATGAGGGTCTCGGTAGATGTGTGAGACAGTGGTAGAGCCGGGCAATGTTGCGGATGTGGGGAAAGGCAGAGCAGGTCACTTCAGTCTTGTTGACGCTCAACTGTAGAAAGTTAGCTTTCATCCAGGACTTGATGTCTGATAGAACATTCTGTCAGCACAGCAGTGGTCCTGGAGTCGAGGGTGGAGGCAGAGAAATAGAGTTGGGTGTCGTTCACATACATGTGAAAGTTGTCCCATGTCTGCGGGTGATGTCGCCAAGAGGAAGCATATAAATATTGAAGAGAAGGGGACCAAGGATAGAGCCCTGAGGAACTCCGCACAAGACGGTGCGGGGGCTAGAGGAGAAACCGTTTGTGGTAACAGTGTGACAGGTAGAATCTGAATCATTTAAGGACAGAATCATGAAGGTTGAGGTGAGAGGAGAGGCTGTGGAGGAGGATAGAGTTGTCAACTGTATCGAAGACAGCAGAGAGGTCAAGGAGGACAAGGAAGCAGAGCAAATGTGACTTGCTCACAGCAATGTCCCACAAACAGTGAGCATTTTTTTTGTCTGGAGGGATTGTTGGCCAGGACACTAGGAGAAACTCCCTTCTCTTTTCAAGTAGTGCCATGGTATCTTTAACAAGCGGGTTGGACCTCAGTTTAACATCTCATCCTAAGAGCAGCACCCCCGACACTGCAGGGCTTCCCTGGCACTTCACTGGAGCGTTAAGCTCGTCAGGTCTTTGAACTCATACACTCAGAGCATTCTCACCCCTGAGTCACAGATTTCTGACTCGGGAGTGAGAATGCTACCAACTGAGCCAAGCAGACTGTCAGGATTTGGGACCTGACTGTGATCCCGTTGTCAGATGTGCAGTTAGACAAGTCTGAATTATGCTGATGGTCCGAATTTTCTGAGCTGTTAGTTTGAGAAATAATTGAGGTGCAGCCTCTCCATCCCCCACCAGAATGGGAATTGCAGACACGGCAGAATCTGGAGAACATAGAATCTAATATAAACTATATGAGCACTGTTTGCTTGACAATGATGGGTGAGAAGCTTGGCTTTGTGAAGATATAAACTAGCAGCTCCCGAATACCATGTGTTCCTGCCATTTGCAGTGTGTTTCCACGGGAACTGAAGGAAGTCTTCGCATCCTGGAAGCAGCAGTGTCTAAACCGCGGGAAGCACGACATCAGCGAGCGGCTGATCAGCGCCTCGCTCTTCCTGCGCTTCCTGTGTCCAGCGATCATGTCCCCCAGCCTCTTTGGCCTGATGCAGGAGTACCCGGACGATCGGACATCTCGCACCCTCACCCTTATCGCCAAGGTCATCCAGAACCTCGCCAATTTCACCAAGTATGTGGGGGAGCCTTTAATATGTGCACCAGTCCTTGGCTCCAGTTACTTTGCATGGTCGGGCTGGGGTCTGTGTGTAATAATATAATAATCCTAGCATTTGATACAGTGCCTTATCACATTTCAAAGCCCTTCTCAGGATATGCTGTAAAGTGGATTGACTGTGTATTTTGTGGGCACAACAAAGGTGTTAAATAATGCGCTGTAACAGTTCGTTGCTGAATTTTAAAATCATGTCCAGGTCTATAATTGTCTTAAGCTTCAGACCACTCTCTTAACATTAGAATCGTGCAGATTTGAGAAAACTTCTTAAAATCGGTCTAATTTAGAATTGGGTTCTTTTTAATCAATACCCTGTCCTCATCCAACATCCACTCACATGTCCCTGGATTGTAATCAGGAAGAGGAGGAACTCAGGCTGATATTGAACCCTGCACTACTAGCACAGGGTCATTAAGACCAATTGTTTTCCCAGAATCATAGCATCTTACAACACAGAATGAGGTCATTCAGCCCATCGTGCCTGTGCCAGCTCTTTGAAATCCAGCTATCCAACTAGTCCCATTCCCCTTTTCTTTCCCCATAGCCTTGACATTTTTTCTTTTCAAGTATATATCCAATTTCCTTTTGAAAGTTATTATTGAATCTGCTTCCACCACCCTTTTTCGTAACAACTCGCTGTATTNAAAAAAAATCTCCTCATCTCTCTTCTGGTTCTTTTGGCAACTGTCTTAAATCTGTGTCCACTGGTTATCGACCCACCCACTAAAGATAACAGTTTCTCCTTAGTTACTCTTATCAAAACCACTCATGATTTTGAATACATCTTTTAAATTTCCCCTTAACCTTCTCTGCTCAATGCCAACGATTTCTCTCATCTCTCCACATACCTGAAGACCCTCATACCTGGTATCATTCCAGTAAAAGTTTTACCCCTAGTGCTGACTTTGCTGAGATCAGTTAACTTGTCTGAGACCTGGCAGCCTGTCACCTTCTGGTCTCTGTGGTTGGGTACTGCACCTGGCAGTGCCTTAACCCATTTGGCTATCAATGAACTGTTATTTTGTAATTGAAAAGAAATCGGATTTCCAAATGATGTTGGTGAGAAAAGGACTGCAATGAATTCCAATCTGTATGAGATTCTTAAGTATGGAACTTCAGTGAACCTCTTGTAACAGTGCTGGGTTTAAAAGCCTTTTAGTATTTGACAAGTGAGCAAGCAGCAAATTCATGTTAAATGGTAATAGTTTTAAATCTCTAGCTCCAGGGGAACATCCATTTTATTGTACAGGCTTCATTAAGAAAGAACGCATGAAAGCTGTTTGGTTTCTGCAGAGGCTGCAGCCTAGTACGTTAATGTGTGCTATTGATTCCTGTAGGTTTGGGAACAAGGAAGAGTACATGGCATTCATGAATGATTTCCTGGAGCATGAGTGGAGCGGCATGAAGCGCTTTCTGGTGGAAATCTCCAATCCAGACACCATTTCCAACACGCCAGGGTTTGAGGGCTATATTGACTTGGGCCGTGAGCTCTCAGTTCTTCATTCACTGCTCTGGGAGGTGGTGGCTCAACTTGACAAGGTATTTTCAAGAGTTGGAGGCACGCCCTTTATATAGGTGAAAGTTGTGAAGTCTCATATCAGTTGTTAATTTTGTTAATTTTCTTACTCTTTGACATTCTACAGATGTTTCTTTCAAATTCCCAGAGCCTTAAATTCAGCTCTACTGGGAACTACAATGTTAACCTTCAGTTTTGTGTAAACAAAACACCAACTGTGGGATTTGATGTTTGAAATATGTGTTTTCTGTTTGCGAGCGAAAGTGTTTATTCCCAGTAACTGAGATCAATGAGTCAGTGAACTATTCATAAAGTGCTGATAAAAAGCCTGATTTACTCTGTTTTCGTGCAAGATAAAAAGGGAGGACAGGACGTGTCTTGAACTACAAGTTAAAGAACAGTTGTGTTTGTGTGCGGACTGTCCCCCAATGGGTCGTGTAGTTATGGTGATGGAGACGTGCAGTTAGCGATATCAACGCAGTACATGACTTGCTTTCCCTTCAGGCACAATATGATTCAAAGGCTGGCAAAGGGCAGCGTCTGCATGCACACAATCTGTCAAACGTTTTTGCCTGATAAACACTTCCATCCACTGCATCTGTTATTTCCTGTGGAGAGCAGATGGCAAGGGGCTTAAAACCGGCTTCCCTTTTTTAAATCGCTGCCTTCTAGCCGAGCTTTAAAAAATAAATGTGTTTTTTTTTCTGGGGGAGGTTCTCATTTAAAACTAATAAACATTTAAAACTTTCATTAAGAAAAACTCTCACTGCCCTGATTGCTCAGTGTTGGGAGGCTGAGCTGCATAAAACAGGAATGTCCCAGGTTCAGTTTCTGCTCTGTGCTGCATTAGCTGACCTTGAGGATAAGGTCAGATATCTATCCACGGTCCTGTAGTGCACTGACCCTTAGTGCCCAAGCTTACACATGACCATTGGCTGTGAAACTGTTGTCCACAAGTGTTGGTTGCAAGAGGAAAACATGGGTGTGTTTATAGCAGGAGTGGGATATAGGAATAGACCATTAAGCCCCTGGGGTCAGAAAGAGTGGAGGGCAAGGAGGGTGGGGGTAGGAGGGTGACCGAAGGTGCAGTTTAAGAGAATGGTCTTGAGATGGGCCTTGAAGGAGGCAAGGGAGTGAGCGAGGGAAGGAACTGTGGGAAGGAGCTTCAAAAGGTGGGAGCAGAAAGGGCCTTTTCTTAAAGATGGTTAAATAACAGCTGATGTTCTCACAGAATATCCGAGGGTGGTGGGGGGCGCGATGACATAATTGTGAAGCTGCAACGAAGCATTCAGAACTCGGACGCTCCCACACTAAATTACTGTGGAGTCCTGTAGCTCAGTGGTTAGAGCACTCGCTTTGCAAGCGAGAGACCTGAGTTCAATTCCAGGCAGAGGGCGAAACCTTGGGCAAGTTTCCTTACTCCACACAGAGCCTAATAATAATCCCTCCAAAACCAAAAACAATAATAAATTGTTCATTTTCAATCTACGACTGTTTGTGGGACATTGCTGTGCGCAATTGGCTGCCGCATTCGCCCACAAATATACAGTCAATTCACTTTACAGTGTGTTCTGTGAAGCGCTTTGGGACGTCCTCCCGACGTGAAAAGCGCTATATCAAATGCAAGGATTATTATTATTATTATTACCATCTTACGCACGTCCTTACTATTGTAAGATTAGAGCTGCTGAGCAAGTGCTGGAGCTGTGTAGAGGCAGGAGGCGATGTGGGAACGCTTGCTTGTCACACAGTGAAAGGCTTTGATTTGCTATCGTTTTTATGAGTGACTCCTCACCGCCCCCCCTTACCCTCACTCCGAGTCAATGGTTCACATTCATCAGGTTGTGTTTTTAAAAACTCCAGACTTTAGTTCTGCATGTTGTTTGTGTTTGTCTTGGAGTGTTGCAACTTCGTTTTGAAACCACATTGATTTGCATTAGTTTTATTTCTAATTTATTTCATATTCCCTTTTCTCTCCTCCCCTTCCTCCCCATCCTCTCCCCTTTTCCCGGTCTCCTGTTCCTTGGTTTCCATGGTTATTGTCTGCATTGCTGCATCACGTCATCCTTCACCCAATGCAAACGCGGGCTGTTCCGGTGGTGTTGTCCAACCAGGGTGAAAATTCATTCCTACAGGCCACAGTGGCAAAGTTGGTGCCTCTGCCCCGCATTCTGGGAGACATCACCCGCTCCCTCACCAGCCCCATGCCCATCAAGCAGCAAATCCGGCGTTTCGAGGAGCAAGTCAGCTCCAACCCCAATGTCAGTGGCAGTGTCTACTCGGGACTGCAGAGGATATTCGAGGACCCCAGCGATGGGTAAGGCTAGACTGCGTACCCGTGTAACAGCTCTTCACCACTCTCCCCTAACCCCAGTCATTCCAATGCACCTTTTTTTTTCTCTATAGGTAAGCAAGACCCAGCTCACTACCGAATTAGACCGAATTGCAGTCCATTAGGGAACTTGTCCTTACAGACAAGCCACAATTCCACCCCACCCAACCCCCCCCCCCCCCCCACCTCACTCCTTGTGGCGCCGAAGGTCAATGAGGACCTGATCCCTGTCTTCACAGCCACCCAAGAGGTCAGGATGGCCTCTGCGGCAGGGCAAGCCCGGCCTGAGCTTTAGTGAACCATTGGTCAAGTGAGCTCTCCACTTCCTCTTTGTGACGGCAGATAATTCGAACGTACCTAACCTCCCCCTCCCCCGGCTGCAAATTCTGGTGCCACGGACTACCTCCCAGGTCAGGTCAAGATTCCAGTGGAAACCCTCACCCTCTGCATGTGGTCCGTGGGCGTTTTTTCTGCTCAGTAATCTTGAACGTCATATTGTTGAACTAACAGGCTCCTTATGGGCCGGGCATGTGTGTTTGACAAAAGCCCAGTCAGCACCAGGTCTGAGCTCAGAGAAGGTGGAAAAATAGGATACATAACATGCTTGCGTGTGTGTGTGTTTTTATTTCAGGGACGTTCATAAATTGCGGCCTCCAACCCAGGAGAACATTGAAGCGTTCTTCCACAGTAAGCAGCACTTTGCAACCCAGCAGGCGTCTACCCAGAGCATGACCTACTCCGACAGGGAGGAAGAGGAGAGCAGCCTTCCCAACGGCAGGAGTGTCTCGCTGGTCGACCTGCAGACCACGAGCGTCGCTCAGGGGACGACGGGCAGTGTGCCCGCCCTGCGCTGCGAGCGCGGCAGCCACGCCTCGATCTCCCACGTGGCCAAGCGGCAGCTGCGGGAGCAGAGCGGGGCCCAGAGCGCACCTCAGATCCGCAGGCCTCTGCACCCAGCCCTGAGCCAGCAGAGCAGCCTGCAGCCCCTCTCCTTCCAGAACCCCGTCTACCAGCTCAACAACCCACTGGCCGGCAGCACCAAGGTCCTGGACTCCAGCTCAGAGAACCTGAGCTCCACCAGCTCCCGCAGCTGCAGTAACAGTGAGGAGCTGGTCAGCAAGTTGAGCGGCCCCAGTAACAGCAGCATGGAGGACTGTGCCAAGCGCAGTGTCTACAGTGAGGACTACGCCAAGCGGCACACCGTGCCCGACAGGAGCAACCTTCCTGTGGCCCTGCCTCGGCAGAATAGCATCGGGCCCTCACAGCAGCGCCGGGCAGAGCCGGCTGGCCCTGGGGCCCGGGGGAAGACCCCGCCGTCGCTGCCGCTCAGCACTGCCCACAGGAGCACCAGCGGCAACACCAACACCGTGCCGGGACCAATGTCAGCCTCGCCTGAGCCACCTCCACCGCCCGCTAGCGAGAGCCGGTCACGGCAAACCTCCACCTCATCCAAAGGGGAGAGTCCAGTGCCGAAGGCGCGGGCTGTTCCCAGGCCGCAGCAGTCACAGCAGGTACGAGAACCCGAAACCAGAACAATAATAATCATAATCAAAATAATAATCCTTGCTTTTGATATAGCGCTTTATCACATCTTTGAGACATTTCAAAGCACTTCACAGGATATACTGTCGAGTGAATTGACTGTATATTTTGTGGGTAAAACGCAGCAGCCAATTGCGCACAGTAGTGTCCCACAAACAGTCGTGGGTTGAGTGAGATTAATTCCCGCGGAAAGCGATCAGCCAGTCGCCTATCAACCGGGTTCCTACTTACTGCAAGGTAAACAGAGGAGTAAGGAAGGCCTTTATCAGAGATTGTTAGAGAGTTTCCCACCCCATCCTTGTGCTTCACAGTAATCCCTAGAACAAGATCCACACTCCTTCACATTGCTTTTTTCGGCTTCGACACTTCTCTCCTCACCTGAGGAGTGCAGTTTCCATGGGGAGATTTACTGCGATCAGCAGACTGTATTCTCAATGAGCTGAGAAGTCAGCCAAGCTCCTGCAACATTCCTGCAATCTGTGCATATTTCCCGTGTACACAGCACCAGGCAGTGGGAATGTTCTTCTCAGAGTTATAACAGGAGCCTCGATCGCTGGCTGGCAGTGTGTCGGCAAAGTGAAGGTGATGCTAACTGACTTGCTCGGGTTCCCCCAGGTCCAGTCACCAGTGGAGACAGCAACCATGTCACCAGTGGAGAGAACAGCGGCTTGGGTTCTAAACAACGGACAGTACGTGGAGGAGGAGGAGGCTGAGCAGAATCCAGAAGAGACTAAACATGCAGAGAAGGTGAGTCAAGCCTGGGGTCCTTTTGATTCAGGATAGAGTGTAAGTGAATAAAATGCAGTGATGGCAGTTAGGGCATGGGTACAAGAGGCCTTCCCTTCCCCCTGTGTTACAGATAAAATATAATATATAATTACTATTATTATTATATAACAGGTTTTCCTCTCCCTGTGTTACTGATAAAATAATCCTTCCATTTCATGATCCCCTGATTGAAATTCACCCCAAATTCCGACTAACTGACTGCTGCTCATCTTATTGTTTGCAAGACGTTTGCTGGTTCAGATTAACCGTCTGCTTTGTATTCACTTTATTTGTAGTTTTTCTCTGAAAAGCACTTTGAGGCGTTTCCCTTTCCATGGAATAAGCCACGTAAACGTAACGTGTAGTTAGTCTGTGGCCTTCGCCTCACATGAGAGCATACTCAGAAATACACTGACGTTGCCAATCCATTAGCCTTGACTCACCCGATGGGGACAGTGTGTAAGGTCACAAGTTAACATGTTGGATTGCGCAGGTGACCACAGGGTTTCCCTGTGTGGAGCAAAGGGTACCACGACAGGCAACTGGGTGAAACGTTGAAGTGTTTAAGACACAAAAACTGCAAAAGCCTTTATCAGCAGCTGATGTGATTGTGCGGTGATCTCAGGTCAGGCCCGTGTGACTGACAATCCACTTCAGGGCTGTCGCTCTCCAATCACTGCTTTGAGACAGTTACAAGGTCAGCTTTTCAGATCCTAACCACTCTTCTGCACTCCCTCTTCCCAAATGAAATGCATTCACCTTCCGGTGACTGGTACATCAGCCTGCCGCTGCCCTGGTCTGCTCCGGTGGATTTAATAGCTTTGCGGCAGACGGCTGCTGTGTCCTTGTGACAGATGCTGAACGTCTGTGTTAGAGCCTCAATCGGGTTTATTGTTTTATACATGGGTCGTCCCACTTGACGCTATTTGACGGCTGTAGGTCAGGTTGGACCATCGTCATGTATTGGTGCAGGCAGGGAGAGGAAATGAGTCCTATAGCTTATTATTTAGAGCGCTCGCCTCGCAAGACAGAGGACCCGGTTCGATTTCCGGGCGGGGTGAAACCTTAGGCAAGTTTCCTTACTCCACACGCTTCTGTTTACCTAGCAGTAAAGTAGGAACCCGGGTATTAGTCGATTGGCGGATCGCTTTCCAGGGATGATAATACATTAAAATAATAATAATAATTTAGTCACTCAATCCATGACTGTTTGTGGGACACTGCTGTGCGCAATTGGCTGCCGCGTTTTATCCGCAAAATATACAGTCAGTTCACTTTAGTGTATATTCTGTGAAGCGCTTTGAGACGTCTCGAAGACGTGATAAGACGCTATATCAAATGCAAGGATTATTATTATTAAATGATTAGAGAGTGGAACCGTGCTCACAGCCACTCGGGAAAGGAGAGTGGGGCGGGGGGAACTGGGAAGGTAAAAGATTGGCCCTCAGTGTGGAAATGACTGTGTGTTTCCTGGTCCCCTGACAGTATGAGCAGGAGATCACAAAGCTGAAGGATCGACTCAAGGTCTCGAGCCGCCGTCTGGAGGAGTACGAGCGGCGGCTGCTGGCCCAAGAGCAGCAGATGCAGAAGCTGTTGCTGGACTACAAGTCTCGCCTGGAGGAGAGCGAGGAGCGTCTGAGGAGACAGCAGGAGGAGAAGGACAGTCAGATGAAGACCATCATCAGCAGGTCAGCGGGAGAGGCACCTTCCCCTAACCAGCCTCCTGTTTGTCCCTCGTGCACTCCGCTCCACCGTCAGCAGCCATGCTTTCAACCAGTATGCCCCAAAACTTTGGAACTCTCCCTCAATCCCTCCCCCTTGCCCTTTCCTTCCCCATTTTCATCTCACACCTGAAGACCTTCCCCTACAGTCCCCCGGCTTGGCATCAGGCTCCGCCACTGTTAAGTACTACCCTGTGTGAAGGGGCTATATAAATGCAAGTTGTTGTATTTAAATAGGAACCCGGGTGTTAGTCGATTGACGGATTGTTTTTCGGGGGCGATAATAGATTAAAATAATAATAATAATTTAGTCACTCATTCGATGACTGTGGGACACTGCTGTGTGTAATTGGCTGCTGCGTTTTGTCCGCAAAATATAGTCAGTTCACTTTAGCGTATATTCTGTGAAGCGCAGAGGCACTTTAGTGTATATTCCATGTAACTTGCACCTCATGATGTTTCTGTTCTCTTCATATGTAAATGTCTGTCAGTCAAACACAAGCAACCTTTGTTGTGGTTCACACTGGACATGAACCACTCTTGTAGCTCAATACAAATCTGGGTTTGACAACACTGGTATAAATCAATCCAGTTCCTTCCTGAATCCCACCAGTCTGCTTTATGTCTTTCAAGGATATTAAGACTAGATGAGGGTAACGGAAGAGAATAAGACTCAGGAGGAGAGTGTCTCAGTCAGCACTTGGGAGACGTTGCTGGCCTTTGGAGCACCATGCCACAGTGCCTTCACCTCACCCCCTGCCTTGCCTCCTTCAAGGCCTGTCTCAAGACCCTCCTCTTTGACCTCACCTTTAGTCACCCTCCTACCCCTATCCTCCACCCTCCCTGATCCCACCACCCAGCTCGGGTCCAAATCCCTGACTGAGGCCGAGCTGAAGGTTGGGAATGGTCTTTTAAGATTCTGAATGGACTAGATAATGTAGATCACGATGAGCAGTTTTATCTTGTACTGAACAGTAGAACTAGAGGACACGGCCTGTGATTGAAGGGGAACAAATCTGTGGAAACACTACTTCAGTTAGCGAGTAGTAAACCTATGGAGTTAGTGGAAACAGAAAGTGTCATTTGTATTAAGAACAAATTAGATAGATTTCTGTTAGAAAATAATATCTTGGGATACAGTATATAGTTTTGGATATATGTCAAGTGACTGCCAGGATGGTGGAAGGCGAACTAGATGGACCTTGGTCTTCTTTCGCCAGCAAATTCTTATATTCTCATGACTGTCCATCACCTTGGGATGTCCTCCCGACATGAAAGTCGCTATACAAATGTAATTTGTTGTTTATCTGATACTCAGTAGTTTCAGCTGTCTCTTGCTTCACTCTTTCCCTGTGTTTTCCTGGTTGGTTTGCAGACTGATGGCAGTGGAGGAGGAGCTAAAGAAAGACCACGCAGACATGCAGGCAGTCATTGATGCCAAGCAGAAGATTATCGAAGCCCAGGTGAGAGGCTGTCAGTCTACAACCTCTTGATCTGACCGTCAGGAGGTTTGGGGTTTGTTTTTATTTGTCTTTGTGGGAGCTCGGCAAGCAGGCGACTGGGGGTGGTTGGGGTGGAAGAGATTCTCTGGAGAAACTCGGTCGCTACAGAGAACTGAATGCTCCTGCTTTGGAATTAAAGCAGGGAAGTACAGAGATTTTCAAAATCAGTTTAATTACAGGTAGGACAATCAGTCTATTCTGAGGAATATTGTAAAACTATCAGACAACAATATGTGCTTTCGGATGCTTTCTGTCCGACCTGATCCTGATGTACAATCAGTAGCAGAGTGGGAACTGGCTGCCCAAAGCTCCTTAGATAATAATATCTCGGGATACAGTATGTAGTTTGGGACGTCCTCCCGACGTGAAAGGCGCTCTATAAATGTAATTTTGTTTTTGTTGTTGTAGACAATGGGAAGGAATCTTATTACAGGGGATTGAGCAACAGCTCCAGATCCTGACTCAGTTGGTTACACTCTCTCTCGCCTGTGCCTGAACATTGTGGGTTCAAGCTCCACACCAGGACTGGGCTTTACAATCCAGGTGGACACTCCCAGTGCAGCATTGAGAGAGCCCGACATTATCAGATGTCGTCCTTCGGATGAGATGTTAAACTGAGCTGTCAGCTCTCTATGCATGTTGTATATATCCCACTGCGCTATTTTGAAAAAGAGCAGAGAAATCTCATGCCCAGTATTTGTCCCTCATTGGAATTCACCAAAAAAAAATGTATGGGTCACTCACTTTATTGGTATTTGTGGGATGGGGCTGGTGCAGGTTAGCTGCTGCCTTTATCCACATAACAATCAATGAAACTCATTGTGTGAACTGCAATGAGACATTTCAAAACGATATGACACTGTATCAAATGCAAGCATTTAAAAAATCAATGCAATAAATAGATTTATCAAGAAGTTACAGATCCATGGCACTCGCGCAGGGTATTACATTGCAGATTTAATCCTGTTGTAGAGTTCTCTGAACAACAAGACCCTGGAAAAGGTGACTTAGTCCCAGGGCAGCTGCATGTTGAGCTCAAGACAGTATCTCTAATTGTGTATTGCAAACAAAGAGCTCAGGCGCCACCTCGTGGTCAGTTTTAGAACTGCAGCGTTGGTTATTCCAACCGGGATCCTCCAGTCACCCACCTTCGGCAAATATTGACTGTCACATCAAAAAGGGAGACTGTTTAAGAAACGTCAAAAGTGTGATGTTTTTGTAAAACTGCAGTTTTGAGGCTCATCCGATAGAGTCCTCATGGTGGAGTCCCGAAGTAGAGTGGTTAGTGCGCTCGCCTCGCAAGCGAGGACCAGGGTTCGATTTCCGGGCAGGGCAAGTCTCCTTACTCCACGCTCCTCTGTTTACCCAGCAGTAAGTAGGAACCCGGTTGTTAGTTCGACTGGCAGATCGCTTTCCGTGAATAATAATCCTTCCGAAAAAAAATTTGGTCACTCAGTGTTGGTGGGACACTGCTGTGCGCAATGGACTGCTGCGTTTTGCCCACAAAATATACAGTCAATCCGCTTTACAGTATATTCCGTGAAGCGTTTGAGACGTCTCAACAATGTGATAAGGCGCTGTATCAAATATTAGGATTATGCTCTGTTTCGCTGAGACTTTGCCTTTGCCCCTGGCTCAGCAACGTGCTCTGCCAAGTGCTCTGGGACGCTATCCTGTGTGAGGGGTGCTATATAAATGCAAGTTGTTGTTACATATAGTGGGCAAAAGCAACGTCTCAAAGAAATAGAGAAAGAGAAATTGTTGGGGCCAGACCAGTTTCACGAAATGTACTGGCCATTATCACTAGTCTGTAGCGATGCCTCCCTGGATGGTAATGTATACATAAATACATTAGGGCAGCTCACCGTCATTGTTACCTCCTCATAAGGTAATTTGATCGTAGGATAGTCATTTGTTAATTAGCCATTCAGATTAACCAAAATAAGATCTTTGACAAGGAAGCAACCTTAGCAGGGACCCACGAGTCGGGGGGAATTTTTCTGTCTTTCTGCTTTGAGTGTTTGCCCACCACCACTCCTTTCGCTGGGAAGGTGGACTGGGCACTGCGAACAAACGCATCTGCTGTGTTGATGCATAATGCATGGTTTGTCAATGAATTTCTGCAGCCCGAAACCCCAATCTTCTGCCAGGATTTGTCATTGGCCCTCAAATCTCATTCCTACAATACCTCTTCCTTTCTCTCCTTGCTCCACCTGTTCTCCCCCTGATGTTTACCCCCTGACCCACCCCCCCCACTTCCCGGATCTTTCTCATTGCCACATCTTTCATTCTTCCTGAAGTTTTCTCATTCTTTCTCTCTCTCATCTGCCCTCTTTTCTGTGTTCTCTTTTCGTCTTTGTCTTCAACTCTCCCCTTCCCCCACACCTAATTTATTTGTGGTCAGCTGGATGTCATCACAATATTCAACCAGACTGAGTGTTCCACATATGTATTCCACTTGCATATGGAAATGTATCCAATGCCTGGCATTGGCTACACAAAAATATTAAGAGGGATCTATTTACCTTATTCTAGAGAGTATTGGGTGCAGATTGGTCGGAGCCAGGAAGTGTATTGGGGTAACTGCTGGGGTTTTAACAGCTAAAACCACGTAGCATGCCCCAGACAGCAAGCTTTCCCGTTGTTAGGACCATCCAATCCATTAGGGCTTTGGCTTGCAGGGTTAACAGGAGCTGAGTGGGAAGAATTGCTGCTCCCAGTGACTGGTCTGCGGATGAACCAGGCTGGTAGGTCTGTCATCAGCAGTGCCTTGAAAACCCTGCAGACCCACCTTGCTCAGGAACAGACAACTGACTGAAATTCCCTTGAAAGCACATTACCATGGAGCAGCTCAGCTCCAAGGAGCCCCTGCTCACCTTCCCTCTTGATCCCTCTCCTCCCAAAAGGGTGGTCACTAGCCCCTCTCAGATCTGTCTGGTTCACTCACCTATGACCCCATGGTGTGCATGAGTGTGTGCACCAAAATTCTCCCTATCCGCACTCCTAAAGCAAAGCCTTTACACAAATAGTCTGGCTGAACGAGGCAGATGTTACTCAGGGCCGCTGGTTGCCTGGACCAATTGCAAGTGATAAAAGATAGCTCTTTGGACCCGGATGTGAGCTGCTTTTGGAATGTCTCATGGATCCAGTAACAGCCTTTGGGTAGCATCACTTTGTGCCTTTGTCAGCATTTGTGAACTAATGCATGAAGCTGTTTGTTTTCTCTCCCCACCTTTCCCCTCCTCCCCTCCCCATCCCTTATTTATCAACAAAGGAAGACTGTCTCTTCAAAAGGCAGCTCAGATAGCTGAATATTGCCTGTGACGTGTGCACTGTATTGATTACAGGTCAATAATGAGGATGGGATGAGCAGAACAGGCAAGTAAGATTCTGTTTCCTAGCAAAGCAGTTCCTAGAGATCAGACCCCCCACCCCCACCCCACTTCCCCTCTCTCCAGCTAGCATTGTGTGGGCTTGTTACTGCACGTTCCTCTGCGTGATCCTCACTGCACCTCTGATTAAGTTGTTGAATTTCTTTATTAAATGGCAATGAAAAGCAGAATGGAGCTTCAGGGTTCTGTCGTGGGCACCAGATCAGCCCCAGAGCTCGCCTCAAACTAATAGCTTTGTCCAGCTCTGGCGTCAGCAGGAAGGTCATTGAGGGTTTAAATGTTCCAGCCGCAGCAGATTTAAATACAACTGCATAAGTTCCTCCTTCTCATCTCTCTTCATTTTGCCCCTCCTCATTTGGATAGAATTCCTTGGTATCAGTGAGCGTAAACATTGAGTGTGGCCGATGTTTGCAGATGGGCCTTCACTGGTTGAGTCCATTCCTGTTCTGGGCAGATGTTGTGGGGTGGGGGGAAGAAGAGGGGGAAAGAGGAGACCCAGGATAGTCAATTGGGAGTGTAAACAGCTGATATGTCTTCCTTTTTCTCCCCTCGCCCCTCCCATTCTCTATCCCAGGGGCACTAACCCCAGATAAAACCAGCCATATTCAAACACAGATCAGGGGATGAATCCTGGGACCTTCCAGGGCTTTAGGCCCGTCATGCGATACAACATTTACATTACATTTTGGGAGTTTTTTTTAAACAAAATTTCAATCTCTCCATGGACTGGGTGGTGGGTGGGGAGGTTGGAATTAAATTTAAAATTGCCCTTTGGGAGTGAGTGACGTCCTGTGCCTCTTGTATTTGGGCTTCTGTGGTTGGAACATGGTAGTGCAGGGTTGGCGGGGACCTTCTGTTGTCCCTCACCAGCACGTCACAAACACATTGTCTCCTGATCCACGGAGCAGCACATCCAGTGAGCGTGGCAATGAGGAGGCTGCCGGGGGAAAGAGACCCATTAAGATTCGTAGAAACATACAACAGCTCTTAAACAGTGAATTGTTTCTCCTGAGTCCTGTACCTCAGTGGTTAGAGCACTCGCTTTGCAAGCGAGAGACCTGAGTTCAATTCCAGGCACAGCGAAACCTTGGGCAAGTTTCCTTACTCCACACAGAGCCTAATAATAATCCCTCCAAAACCAAAAACAATAATAAATTGGTCATTTTCAATCTACGACTGTTTGTGGGACATTGCTGTGCGCAATTGGCTGCCGCGTTCGCCCACAAGTATACAGTCAATTCACTTTACAATGTGTTCTGTGAAGCGTTTTGGGACGTCCTCCCGACATGAAAAGCGCTATATCAAATGCAAGGATTATTATTATTAGTGTAAAAGAAGAACAGTGGAAGGATGAGATCAAATGGGCCAAGCATCTTGTGATTTCACCAATCACAACTCATTTCAATGGTTGAGGGGGGCCTTTTCATTCTTAAATAATACCACTTTGTCTGCTCATACCTCACTGCTCTTTCATGCTAATTGTATACAATTATATGACACAATTATGGTAATCAACGCAAAATATACTGGCAATTCACTTTACAGTATATTATGAAGCGCTTTGAGACGTCTTATCAACGTGATAAGGTGCTATATCAATGCAAGGATTATTATTATTATACAATACCCTCCCCCCGAAACACCCACTTCTCACAATAGACGATGCAAGTTCCATAAATGTCCAACGTCCAAAGTTGTCCCTAAAATGAAAGCAGTTACATAGTGATACTGATAGTTTCTCAGAAGGATGCTGTAATGGCAGCAGCACTTTCCAACACTGTTTAAGAGGTAATGAGAAAGCAGGTTCTCATCAGTCATCGAAGGAGCCACAGATGTCCTGTCTTAAATTGGAGGTCGCCATTTCTCAGAGCTTGGAAAGAGGGTCTGCTATCATTTAGCCCACAAAAATATACAGTCATTTCACTTTACGGTTTATTCTGTGAAGTGCTTTGAGACATCTAGAAGACATAAGGCACTATATCAAATGCAAGGATTATTATTACGTGCATCTGTTTGTAAGAATGAAGCTGACAAACGTAGAAAAGCATGAGCCATTGCCACAGGCCGCATTTGGAATGGAGCTGACCAGAGGATTTTTTCACTTCAATGTTAGACTCCAGCTTTGCCCGCTCCTTCCTCTCTCTTTCCTTTCTCTCTCTCGTTCTCTCAATGTATTGTGCCCTCGCCCTGCTGGTGATGTGAACCTGGCATAGCTACTTGTTTTTGAACGTTCCTAGTATAAACCCTGAACATGCACCCACCTCATTTTTGCTAACTTTCGTTTCCCCCCTCCCACCCCACCTAATCCGACGTGGTTTGATCTTCTCTCAGGAGAAAAGGATCATCTCCTTGGACTCTGCCAACTCTCGGCTGATGAATGCTCTGACTCAAGTCAAGGAACGTTACAACATGCAGACTCGGAACGGGATCTCGCCCACCAACCCGACCAAACTATCAATAACGGAAAACGGGGAGTTCAAGAACAGTAGCTGTTGAAAACGACTCCTGACCACACATGGATGGACTGAGCTTTCTGAGCTGGCTCTGAGGGGGGGGTCAGTTCACAGTTGCTGCTAGGACTTCCTTTCAGGCTTCGGCTGATGAGAGGACTGTTCACGGGAGGACGCCCGATCATACCATCGTGCGCTCTGCAAATTCCCTTCCTCCGGTCCGGAGAAGTGTATCAAACCTGTACAGAAATGAACTGTAAGATTATATTGGGGGTAAATAATTACATGTAGAATTTAAAAGTTTTTTTTTAAAAAAAGAAATATTTCTGTTAGAATTCCTCCTCGGGAAGACGTTGCAAAAACATTAGAGAGTGGAACAATTATTTTACAAAAAAAAGGACATTTTCAAGTGTTGTGTAATTTAGATTTGAAATTCTTTAGCTGGAAGGTGTACATATATTATTAAGAAGCGCATAGACCATTGATAGTCTGTGTAAATGGTAAGAGTATTTTAAGAGACTGTGACTGTTGCTTTGAAGGTCTTCAAGGTTGGTAATTTTAGGGTTAAAAAAACGCACGCCCAAAGATTTTACAACAAGGTTTTATCTGGCTGAGATATGTTACAGGAACTAAAGACTATATAAAAAAATATTACCAATGTTTTGGTAAATAATGTTTTTTTTAAATGAAGCTATACTAGGTTGGGAATGTTATTCAGTGCCCACAATGTTTTTGTTACACCAGTGATTTCAGGCATTGGAGTCCTGTAGCATTTTGGTTAGAGCACGCGCCTCACAAGCAAGAGGACCCGGGTTTGATTCCTGGGTGAGGAATTCCTTTGGCGAGTTTCCTTACTCCACATGCCTGTTTACGTAGCAGTAAGTGGGAACCTGGTTGTTAGTTGATTGGCAGATCGCTTTCCTGCGGTAATAATCCCTTCAAAATAAATGAATAATTTGGTCACTCAATCCACAACTGCTTGTGGGACAATTGGCTGCTGCGTTTCATCCACAAAATATACAACCAATTTACTTTACAGTATATTCTGTGAAGTGCTTTGAAATGTCTTGCCCAGGTGATATCAAATGCAAGGATTTTTTTTAACGTCTTAACTAACACCTGGTTTTCTATACAGAAAACCGCAGCGGAAACAGATCAGTCGGAATATGGAGGTCAAACTCTAAGTGATGCTTTTTAAAAACAAAACTATAAACCCGACTTTTCCGCATAAATCTCCTAAACTGTTTTAACCTTCTTGGAAATATTAGAATAACGCTTTGCCAAATTGTTACCTGACCAACCGATTGAAATATCTGCTGAAGCTGTTTCCGTATAATTGTTAAAAGCTGAAGTATTCTCTTTCCCCACCAACCTTCTCACCCAACCCCCCCCCCCACCCACCCTGCTCCCTAACACCATCCAATCTCTCTAACTTCCCCCAACCCCAAACCTCTGACCCCAGCTCACCACTGAATCTTTTTCCTCCCTGCCCCCATCACAATTTCTGACAGATTTATAGCTATTATAGCGGTTGACTTTGCGTTTGGAAGGTGTGAACATTGTACTTTTAATCACAAACTGTTGACACACTTTTGACAAGTGGTGTTGCAGAGAGACAGACAATAAAACCCTGAGTAAAAACAGCCTCTGCAGTCCCCCTTGTCATCCAGAATAATGCATGGGGGTTCAGAACACAGATCAACACAACCAAGTAAATAATGGAGCTGGGAAAAGGGGGAACCTGGTCAGTTTGGGAATGGCTGAGCAACGTTATGGGATATTATTATAATAAGTAGAGTTTCTCCTTCCCACCATGTTTGAATGACCAAGGGCATCACATTCAGTGTACAAATGACTGCCCCCTTAGCATGGCTCAGATCATAGCACTCTCACTTCTTCGCCAAAAGGTTGTGGGTTCGAGCCCCACGTCAGGATTTGAGCTCATCGGCTGACTCTCCGGTGCAATGCTGGAGGATTGCTGCATTGACTTGAGGTGTCATCTTTTAAATGAGATACTAAACTAAAATCCTGTTTCTGTTCTTCAGTTGGATGATAAAATCCCATAACACTATTAGAAAGTCTTGGTCAACAATGCTCCATATAAATTTGTCATTCAACTCCTGATTGATCGCGAGATCTCACTGGTGCAAATGGCTGCTTGTTTACCTATAAAACAACAACTTTTATTTACATAGCGCCCTTCATGCGAGTAGCATCCTGGAGCGCTTAACAGCCACTAATTACTGTAAAGCACTTTTGAGACTTGACGTTCGGGGGAATCAGGTGAAATCAATCAAAGCATAATTCCCATCTGAAGATCTTGTACAGCAACGTCAAGACTTTTGACGAGAGTACTGTGCACTGTCCTGCACACGCGGTTCATCACTGCAGCCGGTAAGCGGGCGTGCGGCCATCGTGCGGACTGTTGCCAAACATGTGGCCTTGGGAGCCGGTCCGGCTCCACGATGGCCACTTATTCCAGCAGATGGGAATTTCAATCCGCGTTGAAACTCGTAAAGACGAGATGGGAGCGACGTAGGGTTCGCGTGACTCTTGGGTTTGGCCAGTGCAGCTCCCCTCCCTGACCTCGCACGTCTCGGTGGCTGCTGGACTTGGCTCGGGGTCAGGGGGAGCAAAGTGGCCAGAAATGATGATGGGTTTGTAGCCCAAAGCCCACCAATGACTGTGGCCCAAACAGTAGCCCAATCCTCCGGGCGGCCAAGTTGGGTTTGTGCTTCTGCAGTGAGTGAGAAAACGGTTGTGGGGGAGGAGGCGTTTTTGCAAGTTTTGATGACTAAAACAAATTAAAATCGGAAACCGCCCGAAGCCATTTTTCACGCAGAATAACCACAAAAACAAACCCAAATGAAAACCAACAACAATCTGCCCACCTCGGTGGGCAAGTGGAGAGGGGACCGGAAGTTCGTCATACCCGGCACGGGGGGGGCGGCGGACAGCCGGAAGTTCGTTATGCCCCGCACCGAGAGGTGACCGGAAGGGCGTTATGCCCCGCACTGAGATACAACCGGAACTCGTCATGCCCCGCACCGAGAGGTGACCGGAAGGGCGTTATGCCCCGCTGAGAGGTAACCGGAAGCGCGTCATGTCCCGGTGGCGGTGTTGACGTCGGCGAGTCACCGCCGGGTCCCGGGTCCCGGGAGTGACGGAGGAGCAGTTGACGGAGCAACGACTGGGCCGCGGGTCTCGACTTGAGCTGAACGATGGAGCCGCCGGGGGGTAGGTGTCGGGCGGGGGGCGGGGGGGCGGGGCGGGGGCTGTGGGTTTGTGAAGCTGCAGTTTGTACAGTTGACGAACTGGGGACAGGTGAGAGGTCACACCGGCTCCCACCCCCCCACACACACACCCTCACACACCCCCTCACACACACCCACACACACACACCCTCACACACACCCTCACACACACCCACACACACACACACCCTCACACCCCCCCACACACACACCCCCACACACACACCCTCACACACACCCACACACACACCCCCCCACACACACACCCTCACACACACCCTCACACCCCCCCACACACACACACCCTCACACACACCCCCCTCACACACACCCTCACACACACCCTCACACACACACACTCACACCCCCCCACACACACCCCCTCACACCCCCCCCCACACACACACCCTCACACACACCCACACACACACCCTCACACACACCCTCACACACACACTCACACCCCCCCACACACACCCCCTCACACCCCCCCCACACACACACCCTCACACACACCCACACACACACCCTCACACACACACCCACACACACCCCCCCCCACACACACACCCTCACACACACCACACACCCTCACACCCCCCCACACACACACACCCTCACACACACCCTCACACACACCCTCACCCCCCCCCACACACACACCCTCACACACCCACACACACACTCACACCCCCCCACACACACCCACACACTCCCTCACACTCACTCCCTCACACACTCCCCCACACACTCCCCCACACTCACACTCACTCCCTCACACACACTCCCCCTCACACACACACACTCACTCTCACTCCCTCACACACACTCCCTCACACTCACTCCCTCACACACACTCCCTCACACACACACCCTCACACACACTCCCTCACACTCACACCCTCACACACACACACACACACACCCACAGCCTCACACACAGCCTCACACACACCCACACTCTCCCTCACACACACACTCTCTCACATACACACACACTCTTAAGTACAATTTGTTTTTTTACCCAAATGTCTCAATGTGCTTTGTAGAGATGGAGTGAGCCTGAGGGGTTTGAGGGAGGGAGGCTGGGGGTACGAGAGAGATCCCTGAAGGTACTCAGAGGGAGAGGTACTGGAAGCTCCAATGCATCCGTCCTGATTTTCAGATGAAAATCTGATTTTTTTTAAGATAAATTTACTGATGAGCTGAGAGAGAAGGAGAGAGGGTGAGAAGCAGAGAGATTTTGGAAGAGATCTGGAGAGGGCGGGAGTAAATATATTGTAAAATGGATATTTTGTGGGCGAAACGAGGCAACGAATTGTACACAGCAGTGTCCCACAAAGAATCATGGATTGAGTGACCATGATGTTTTTTGAGGGGAGAAGTTGCTCTGTGTAAGCCACCTAATCCATGTTAATCTTTAGTGTATTGTCTGGCCAGTGCAGACTTCAGATCTGGATATTTTCAGCCAAGTCAGATCCTCTCTTCAACCGATGTGCATATTCACACCTTACAGTAGGGGGTGTAGGGTTGGGAATTGTCTTATTAGACATCTGGAGGAATCTCTCCTTCCCTGGAGTAGCTGTGTCCTGTTTATCCTCTCCTTTGCAGTAAGTGCTTTGCTGTCTACAATGGTGGTGTGTCCTGTCTATAATTGTGGCTCCTCTGTTTCTTTCTGCAGCTGGAAGTGGGGAAGACTATGGTGATGGATCTCCAGTTGAGTCCAGGCTCGTGTCGCCTCCTGCGCCTTCCGATGAGAGTAAAAGCACAGGCTCGCCAGGCTCACTGAGTGGTTCAGAGGATTCGCAATCAGGTAGGAAATGCAGGGGGATTGGTTTGGGATTCATTACCATCTGAACTGGACAGTGTTTAACAGACAGAAAAACAAGCAGTGGTGACATAAAAACATAAAGCCGAATGGTGCCCTTCTGTGCAGAAAATGTATATATGTTTTAAAGACTTTTTTGTGGCCAATTTTCTGTCCTTTTCCTCTGTTGAAGCTGCCTACTCTTTGCTGGGGCTACATTGCCATGGTCGCCAGCCGTCCCGAGGCACCTCACTCACCCAAATGGCTGTGGTTAGAACACTCGCCTCGCAAGCTAGAGGGCCCGAGTTCAATTCTCAGGCAAGGCGAAACCTTGAGCAAGTTGAAACCTTGGGCAAATTTCCTTACTCCACATGCCTCTGTTTACAACAACAACAACAACAACAAGATTAAATTTTTATAGCGCCTTTCACTTCGGAAGGACGTCCCAAGTCGCTGGACAGCACAGCATTTCAGACCCGAGCTGGGGTCAGGGAGGGAGAAGGGAGAGGGTGGGGAAGGGGGGTGGCCGATGGGATGGTCGAAGAGGAGAGTCTTGAGGTGGGATTTGAAGGAGGCTAAGTAGGGGGCGAGGCAGAGTGATTGGGCGATGGAATTCCAGAGGTTGGGGGCAGAGTGGCTGAAGGCTCTCCCGCCAATAGTGGGGCGGGTGGGACGTGGAGCAGGCCAGAGCCGGCTGAGCGCAGGAAATGGGCGGGTTGGTGGGGGGGTTAGGAGGTCGTAGAGGTACGGGAAATTTCCCCTCATCCAGGACTTGATATCCAACAGGTTGTCTGTCAGGACAGCAGTGGAGTTGAGGGTACAGGCAGAAAGATAGGAGTAAGTAGGAATCTGGATGTTAGTCGATTGCTGGATCGCTTTCCAGGAGTAATAATCCCTCAAAATAAATAACTAAAATAATAATAATTTGGTCACTCAATCCACGACTGTTTACACAGTTTACACTGCTGTGCACAATTGGCTGCCACGTTCACCCACAAAATGCATCGACTTCACAATATAGTTACAATATCTTACAATTATTTTCTTTGAAGCGGTTTGAGATGTCTCAACGACGTGATAAGGTGCGATATCAAATGCCAGGATTATTATTATTATGTGAGCGTTGGCAGTGGAGTGGGAACTCTGGCTGTTCCCTTTGAAGCTAATTCGAACACTTTGACAATCAGACCTTGAATTGAACCAGCACCCTCACTGAACTCCATAACTTAGCAAAGTTCTTTTATCCACCAGATTATCTGGAGTTCATTAAGTGATGAATAAATTGAAAGCTACCACTTTAGAAATCTTACTCACATAGAACTAAGCTCTCTGTATAAACCACCCCAGCCCGAGTGGAACTGTGATTTGTTTATAATTGTGGTTTCTTTGTTTCTTCCTCTAAATCCAGGTGTCAAAGACCACGGGGAAGGACACCCAGATGTGACTCCGTCTCTGTTTTCTAGTGACAATAAAAACACAGAAGATCAAGACACGTTGATTGATCCAGAGAGCTCCCCCTCAGGTAGAAAGTGCGAGGGGATTCGATTGGGATTAATTTGGAATTCATTTAAAATGATTATTAAGGCTCAATCAATAGAACCACAAGAACATGTATTTATGTAGTTCCCATCGCTTAGGATAACATCTCAGAATGCTTCACAACATCGGGATTGGATTCTGAGCAAGGAAGAGTTCGGGAAGGAGGTGATGACTCTGGGCCCAATCAAAGAAATGGGTTATTCAGAGCTCTGCAGGTTGGGTCCTTCTGCACCAGGCTCCATGAACCTATCACCCCCATCCTCGCCCAGCTTGACTGACTCCTGATCCCCCAGAGAATAGAGTTCAAAATCCTCATCCTCTCCTTCAAAGCCCTCCTCAGCCTTGCTCCTCCCTACCTCTATGACCTGCTCCGTACAGACCTGTCCGCTCCCTCCACTCAGGAGGCTTTGGCTGTTCCATGTCACCCGCTCTGCACGCCCCCACCATATGTGGTCATGCCTTCAGCCTCTCTGCCTCCACTCTTTGGAAGTCCATCCCACAGTCCCTTCGCTTCGCCCCCCCCGCCCCCCCCAATCTCTTGCCTCCAAATTCCATCTCAAGACCTTCCTCTTTGACTGCCTTCGGTCTCTCTCCTACCCCTACTATCCCTGCTCTTCCCCCCGCCTGATCCCAAACCCTAATTTGGGTGCAAATCCTTGACTGTCCAGCGCCTTGGGATGTGAAAGGTGTTATATAAATGTAATTTGTTGTTGTTGTTGGATTTTCAATACTGGGGGGGAAGGGAACTCGATGTGCACCTTAGAGGGGAGAAACCAGAGAAATAGGGAAAGAGCTGGAAAGTGAAATTGAAACATTTTCTGCTGAGAATAGAAAATATCAATGTCTGCTGAGGTGTTGAGAGAGTGGGACGTTCAGGGAATCTGAATGGTGGGAGAAACTGCTGGTGCACACTAACAATTGCTGTAGGGAAATTGGCTGCTGTGTTTTACCCGCAACATTATGCCACAGTCACACCACTTTACAGTATATCCTGTGAAGCGCTTTGCGATGTCTTGATGATGTGATGAGGAGTTTTATCAAATGCAAAGATGGTTATTATTATAATAAAATTGTGGAAATTTGCTGGGTCCAATGACCAACATAAATTTAATGACTTCCTTCCCGACCTCCTCCCTTCCCGACCCCCTTCCCCCCCCCGACCTTCTCCCGCCCACCGCCCCACGACCTCCTCCCCCCCGACCTCCTTTCGCCCACCGACCCACGACCTCCTTCCCCCCCCCGACCTCCTTCACCCCCCAACCTCCTCCCACCCCGACTTGCTTCCGCCCCCCCCCCCAATCTCCTCTATCCACTGGGCAATCGGACATCTCTATCTTGTACCATGATTGGATTCCTTCCTGCAACACATCCCAAATGTACACCATTCTGTGTTTAACCTCTCTGAAGGCCTGGATTGGATTCCAGCCAGCGATGCTCTAATAGGGATTTATTGTTCTCAATATGGGAATATCTACAATTAAATCTCAAGAGATCCTGTGTTAAAACTAGCTGAGCCCAACTTGAATTCTTCAGAGTTTTATCTGGAAAGGGGAGCTTTGGGAGTTATTCCTGTCGAGTGATAATGATCTGTTTATAACTGTGACTCCTCTGTCTTCCTACAGCTGGGCAGGACCTCAGTGAACGAACTCAGGAGACAGCCGTGGTTGAGACACTCCCCAATCAGAATAAAATCCCAGATAGTCCAGATACAATAAGGAGTTCAGAAAGTTTAACTTCAGGTGTGTAAAGTGAGATCTTCCTTCATTTGGAAATCTTCCTTCTCAGTCTCTTCCCTGACACAGAAGGTGGGTGAATAGAGTGGATGAGCATTTGGAAAGTAAGGTTGAAGAGCCAGAAGATGTCTTTTAGTTTCTATTGTCACATCATATTTTTGTTGGTTGTTCTTAATCTCTGTGCTTTAAATTCCAATTTTACTTTAGTCGCCAAAGTCTGTATGAGATAATCCGCTTTTTAAAACTGTGAGAACTTAGAATAAATTGTGAAGCTTGTCGCCTATTGGTTAGAGCACTCGCCTCTCAAATGAGAGGACCTGGGTTTGATTCCCGGGCAAAGCAAAACCTTAGGCAAGTTTCCTTATTCCACACGCCTCTGTTTACCTAGCAGTAAGTAGGAATCCAGTTGTTACTCGATTGGCGGATTGCTTTATAGGGTTAATAATCCCTTCAAAAAATAAACAAATAAATAAACACACTTTACAGCAGGCGTGGGGACTGTCTGAGTGGAAATCAGGAAGAATCTCCCCTTCCCTGGAATAGCTGTATCCTATTTATCTTCTCCTTTCGAGTAAGTGTGGTCCTGTCTATAATTGTGGCTCCCCTGTTTGTTCCTGCAGCTGGAAGTGAGGAAGACTATAATGGTGGATCTCCGGTTCGGTCCATACTTGTGCCGCCTCCTGCACCTTCTGAGGAGAGTAAAAGCTCGCAGAGTGGTTCAGAGGGCTTGCAAACAGGTAGGAAGTGCAAGGGAATTGGATTGGGATTCATTATCGCAAGTGACAACTCAGGTTACATCAAAAGAATTGATCAAAAGGAAACTGGAGTAAATCTTCTGGGGTAAAATCTAAAATATAACTGCGACTTCTCTGTTTCTTCCTCCAGATGCAAGTGTGAAAGACTACAGTGAAAAACAACCAGATTTTATGTCAACTCCAGTTCTTTATGACAATACAAACATAGAAGGTGAAGGCACGTCAATGGGTCCAGAGAGCTCTTCCTCAGGTGGGAAAAGTGAGGGGATCGGGATTGTTTGGAATTCATTCCGAGTGATTATTAAGGCTGGATAAATATAACTTACAAGAACTTGTACAAGAATATAATGCCCCTTCTTGTAGGATAAGGTCTCAGTTTATCAAGAGTTGATCAAAAGTGAACTTCATAGGGAAAACATCAAGGAATATGACAGGAGAGCTGGGAAGTGGGATTCATTTTTCTTTTTAAAAAGCCCCCTGCTTCTGCTGAGAATAGAACTGGTCTGTTTTTTTTTAGGTGAGGTATTCAGCCGGGTGTCTGACACAGTGGAAACCCATCACCAGTTCAGCTCTAAGGAGACCTTGCTTAGCACCCCCCCAAACACACCCCATAAAGAGGAGAGTCACTAGTTGGTCATTTGACATCCAACATTCTGTATCTTCTACATAAACTATTTCATCTTGGTCCTAGTGTTTATACCTGTGGCTTCTCTGATTCTTCCTCCAGATGCAAGTGTGAAAGACCATAGTGAAAGACATCTGGATAGGATGACAATTCCAGCTCTTGATGACATTACAAGCATAGAAGGTCAAGGCACATCAATGACTCCAGAGGGCTCTCCCTCAGGTGGGAAAAGTGAGGGGATTGGGATTTGTTCGGAGTCCTGTAGCTTAGTGGTTAGAGAACTCGTCTCACAAGCGAAAGAACCTGGGTTCGATTCCTGGGCAGGGCGAAATCTTAGGCAAGTTTCCTTACTCCACATGTCTTTGTTTACCTATGGGTAAGTTGTTAGTCAATTGGTAGATCACTTTTCCGGGGGTAATAATCCCTTAAAAAAAATAATTTGGGCACTCATTTCACAACTGTTTGTGGGACATTGCTGTGAGCAATTGGCTACTGAGTTTCGCCCCCAAAAGACATTCAATTCACTTCAAGGATTGTTCTATGAAGCGCTTTGAAACGGCAAGGATTGGCAACAGCACAGATATCAAATACAGGTATTGTAATTAATTCGGAGTGGTTATTAAGCCTGGATCAATAGAACGTGGAGTCCTGTAGCTCAGTGGTGTGGAGTCCTGTAGCTCAGTGGTCGTGGAGTCCTGTAGCTCAGTGGTCGTGGAGTCCTGTAGCTCAGTGGTTAGAACACTCGCTTTGCAAGCGAGAGACCTGAGTTCAGTTCCAGGCAGAGGGCGAAACCTTGGGCAAGTTTCCTTACTCCACACACCTAATAATAATCCCTCCAAAACAAAAAACAATAATACATTGGTCATTTTCAATCTACGACTGTTTGTGGGACATTGCTGTGCGCAATTGGCTGCCGCGTTCGCCCACAAATATACAGTCAATTCACCTTACGGTCTATTCTGTGAAGCGCTTTGGGACGTCCTCCCGACGTGAAAAGCGCTATATCAAATGCAAGGATTATTATTATTATTATTATAACTACCGTGAACCTGCATTTACATAGCACCTTTCATGCACTCATGGACTGCAGTTTGTGCATTGGGGTACTGCTGGAGTCTAACCAGCTAAAGCCTCATAGCTTGCCATTGACAGCACTATCTGGCAAGCTTTTCCACTGCTTGCCAAGCCATGACCACCCAACCCGTTAGGGTAGAAACTTCAAAAAAAAGGTCAATGCACAATGAGGGGTTCAGGGGGTTCTCCCTCAGGGAGAAAGTTCAGGGAATCCAATCAGAGAGTGAACCTGCTGTTATGCAGTAGTAAAATTGTGCAAGAAGCTTACTGGGCCCAGTGACTGGCACCATTTGATGGCCTTGGGCTTGTCGGCTGATGCAGGAAAGTTTCCATGGTCTGGTTTGGATATTCTTGAACAAAGTAAGAGTTTCCACATGTTTTGGACCCCTGACTGACTAAAATACATAAATCCCAGATATCCTCTGTACAAACCATTTCAGTCCTACTTGAATTTAATGTTCAATGGATGGACATTTTCAGTGTTTTGTCTGGAAAGTTGAGATTTGAGAGTTATTGCTCTGTATTGTAACTCTTCAACCGTGTGATCACCTCCTCCCACCCCATGGCTCGGCATCTGCCACTGTTAGGGCTCTGAGACCCAGCCCCATGTGAAGGTCCCTATATAAATGCAAGTTGTTTTGTTTGTATCTAACCTTGTGGTTGGTCCCTGTTTCTTCAGCTGAAAACGAAGACCAAGAAGAACATTTCAACATTCGTCCTTCTAATGCGACTTACACCAATAAAGGTCAGTGGATCTTTGTGAGAGTATCGGAGTGTTCTCACTCTGAGGGATAGAGCAGGCATCTCACTCACTGGTAGATCTTAATCCACCTCAGAGGTGCAGCCTGGATGTTCTACATACCCTCATCCAACACTGTGACTTAATCCCTGACGCTAAACATGGGGTTCTTGGATATGTACCACAAGAATAAAATTCCTTCATCTTATACTTTTCTCTTGCCCCCTTACCCCTATCCTCCTCGCACTCCACCCCTCTTGATCCCAACCATCAGCTCAGGTGCGGATTCCTGATTGTCCATCCTGACGTGAAAGGCGCTATACAAATGTAATTTGTTGTTGTTTCATTCTTGTGGTCTTTGCCATCTACCTTCATTGCTTTAGATTTCAACAGAGTAATGGCTGATTGTGGTTAAATCAATCAGGTGTCTGCCTGGTTCAGTTGGTAAAACTCGTATGTTTAAGTCTGAAGGTTATGGTACATTGAACGTAGTCTTGGCTGACATTCTAATGCAGTACTGAGTTTGTATTGCGTTCCTAGAAGTGACCGTTAAACCAAGGTCCATCTCTCTATTCAGGAGGTCATTAAACAGCCCCTGGTGTTATTTGAAAAGAGAAGGAAGTTTGTCTTTTTAAATAGTGAGGTTAGGGAGTAATAATAATAATAATCCTTGCATTTGATGTAGTGCCCTATTGCGTAGTTGAGACGTCTCAAAGGGTTTCACAGGACGTATTGTAAAGTTGATTGTGTGGATGAAACGCAACAACCAGTTGCTCCAATGTCACAGAGTGAGTGAACAATTTTATTTGGGGTATTGTTGGCTTGGACACCGGGAGAAACTCACTCACTTTCAAATACCGTCATGGGATCTTAAATGTCCACCTGAAAAGCAGTCAGTAATTCCTCACATTTTTGGCTGCTTTATGCTTACTCTTGTTTGTCTGCACATCCATCATCCCAGTCCTCTCCAGGCTCCACTGACTCTTGTCTCCCAGTGATTTGATTTCAAGGTTTTCATCCTCATCTTTAAATCCTTCCATGCCTCCACAACTCCCTATCTCTCTGATCTCCTACCTACTCTTCTGCTCACCCCCTCAGCTTGTCACCCACCCTAACCATGGGGGCTGGTGGTCAAGCTTTCAGATTCTACGCTCCTAACAGGAACTCTCTGCCTCATTCCCTCTCTATCTAGCTTCAATTCCTGCCTTAACACGTGTGTCAGCCTGGCCCTCGGTAGCACTCTCACCTTTGAGTCAGAAGGTTGTAGGTTCAAGCCTCATGTCAGGACTTGGAATCACAGCTGACACTCCAGTGTTGGGAGGCTGTTGCTTTGTCAGAGGTGCCAATATTCAGATGAGATGTTAAACCAAGGTCTCCTGCCTTTTCAGGTGGTCATTAAAAATCCCCTGACACTATTAGAGAAGGGAGTTTCTCCCGGTCTCATGGCCAACAAATCCCTTCCCCTTCCTCACCACAATAAAATTGGTCACTCACTTCATGGCTGTTTGTGGTACACTCTTGTACGCACAAAACTGCCCACAAAATATACTTTACAGTATATCCCTTAAAGCACTTTGAGATGTCTTGATGTCATGATCAGGCGCTACATCAGATGCAAGCATTATTATTATTATTAAAACCCATCTGTTTGACTGCAGCTTTGCCCACCTCCTCCTCCCACACTCTGCCATACGCTTGCTTGACATCCATCCGAATCACTGTAAAGTTCTCTGCGGCATTGCTCTGTATGAAAGGTCGCTGTATAAAATACGTTTCGGCCACAAAATATACAGTCAATCCATTTTACAGTATATTATGTGAAGCTCTTTGAGGCGTCTCAATGATGTGAAAAGATGCTAAATCAAATGCAAGGATTATTATTATTAATATTAATATCAATCATTGAAATTGTCCTCTCTCCAAAGGGATGTATAATTGGATGTTTGTGGTCCTCGTGCCTCTGATCGCTTACCTGGTTTACATGAGCCAACTAGAAAACAGCCGACACGAAACCGAAACATCAGTACAAACGTTCTTGCGGAACCTTGAAAAGGTTGAAAGGAGTTTTCAAAGTCAGCCAGACCAGCTGTGGAAGAGGAGCCGGATAATGTTACAGAAGCACGTCAACACGACCACCCACTCTGAGCCGTCCATCTTGATGTTCGCGGCCGCTCTGGACGCAGAGAAGACCCTGCGGTGCCTGAGCCGCAGTATCGCTGGGGCTTATGCCTCAGCGCTCGGCTCCACCGCTGTTGAGATCGACGGCTCTGGTAAGAACCTGCTGGACAGCGACAAAGTGAAGATGGAACTCGATCAGCGGCTGTCGTCGGAGTTCAACGAAGGCAAAAAGGCCGCCGTGATCCACCATTTCCAGGACCTGCCACCCCCGTCCACCCTCCTGTTCTACAAGTACTGCGACCACGAAAACGCAGCCTTCAAGGACGTCTCCCTCCTGATCACGGTCTTACTGCCCGAGGAGAGGCTGGAGCCCGACCTGAGCCTCAGCGCTCTGGAGGAGAAGGTCTTCGATTTCCTGGTGGTGAAGTTTTCGGTCTCCAACATACCCGGACAGTACAACGCCTTGGACGCGGACAAACTGAGCGGGCTGTGGAGCCGTTTATCGCACGTCATACTGCCAGTCAGGCCTGAGAAGGAAATCGAGAAGAGTGGCTGCGAAGATGAGTGAAATCGGACAAGAAATTAGACGGAAAAAGTTTGCACTGATATTGTTGAATGTGAGGGAATTAATGAGCTGAGAACACATAATCCAATGATACCCAAGAAATATCCTTTTTTCAAGTTACAAATGTTGAAATTTCAAATGTAAATAGAATTTAAAAATTCCAATACTGTTATTTGCACACCTTTAATAGGAAGTTTATTTTACAAAGTTCAATTGCAATATTCAGAGTGTATTCGAAGACTTGTGATTGTAATTGCAGGTTCAGGGAATAAAATCCTACTTAAAATTATGGTTGAATACATAGTTTTAATAACCCTGCAGGCCAAAGACCTAACAGGTAGGGTGGTCAAGCTGGATAAGAGGACGGAAACTACAGCGATATCAGTTGTAAGCTCTGCTGCTTTAGCTGATTGGGCTCCAGCAGTTACCCCAGTGTCCACTATGGTGTCCCCAATGCCTTGGCTCTTACCAACCTGCGCCCAATACTCTCTGGAATGAGGTAAGCAGGATACATCCCTCCAGGGAGAGAGTGCGCATTCCCCATTCCAACAGTCTATCTCTGAAATTTACGTGTGTAGGTGGGGTGCGTGGAATTCTCAGCTTGGTTTTGCTTAAGCACGGGGATGGGTTTCCGCACGTGTCAGGCATCTGGCTGACCAAACAAACAAAAAAAATTGTTGTCATAAAAGTATGAGCTCCTGTCTTCGGGAGAAGAAGCAGAGTTCAGTGTTTGAGGAGGAAGAACAGTCAGCAGTTCTGGGGGACGGTTTTGTTACTGTCAGTGATGTTGCTTTCCAGAGGCATTTGATGTAATATCCTTGGACATCACCTTATAAGCTTGACAAACATCTCACAGGATTTACTGTGAAATGGAGTTACTCAATATTTGTTGGGACACATGGCAGCACATTTGTGCACAGCAGTGTCCCGCAAACAACCATGGAGTGAGTGACCAATTTTATTTGGGGGATTGTTGGCCAAGGCACCGGGAGAGAGAAACTCGCTTCTCTTTTCGAACAGTGCCATCGTCCTGAGCAACAGCCCCAATCACACCCTGAGTGTGATCCGGGTTCTTGATACGGCAGTGACGGTATAACCTCTGATGGCTGAACCTTTTCGTGAGTACGGTCGTCAAATGGGGGAATTTATGTGATGCGTCCACTTATCCGCTCTGTCTGCTTATCTGCAGAGGGGCCGTTTCCAATCAGTTTGGATAATCGTCTCTCTTCCACAGTCCTGATTTCACAAAACTACAAGTGTGTCAATGTTGCCTTAAAGCCTGGAGAGTGACAAGGACAAAGCGCCCTCTGGTTCGGAGGATTAAAAGTGCTGCATGTACAGCAGGGCAAGATGGCTGAGGTGATGAGGGAGAGAGAGAGCACATGGCTATCCAGAGAAACAGTTTAATATGATTGTGTTTGTCCGTGAGCCACAGAGAGCAAGGTAACAAACCGAGTGTTCGCATCAGATTGTGGAGTTTAATTCCAGCTGTCAGCACAGCTCAACTGTGAGCGTAAGAATCGCTCAGAGCTTTCTAAGTCGATGCCTCTGACCTCTGGAATTCCCTACCTCAACCCCTCTGTCTCGCATCTTCTCTGTCTTCAAATCGCATCTTAAAACCTACCTCTTCACCACTCCCGTCCCACTCAGTATCCGCTCTGCTATTGTAAAGCTCTCCCAAGACGTTTTATCCCAGGTGAAGGCACTATAGAGGCATATAGAGGCACTACCATAAAGGCAGCATGGTCTATATAGAGTGCCTATATAGAGGCACTACCACTTAATTCATCATGTTGTCATATCCTGGCCACATTCATTTATGTATCTATATAGGTTGCAGTCCTTATAGTTTTATGAGATGTGCGTGGCACGTAGACATTTACAAATATCGACTCGGTGACAAAATCTTTCACAAATGCGATGAAAGACATCTGTAGTAAAGAACATAATTAATAATTTAAAAACTATGAGTAAAGACTGCTGATGCTGTATGCCTAACTTGCCACTCTGGATAACTTATCATTGAGCCCTTTGAGTGACAAGTTATCTGGAGTTTATTGTTGTGTTGTGTGTCTGCAGTCCTCTGTGCTATTGTGACGTGTGTTTCTGACCCACTACAGATGCTGTGGCTCATCGGGGCAGAGCTGCCCTCTGACGTGGCCGCTTCAATACCGGCATTGTACGGCACGGCTATTTTGGTACTTAATAATAATAATACTCCTTGCATTTGATATAGCCTTATCGCATCATTGAGACGTCTCAAAGAGCTTCACAGAGTATACTGTAAAGTAGGTCGACTGTATTTTGTGGGCGAAACGTGGCATAGCAGTCTCCAAAAATTTTTGTGGAAATCGTCAAAAAAAAAAAAAACGGGTTCCTATTTACTGCTGGGTAAGTGTGGACTAAGGAAACTTGACTAAGGTTTCGCCCTGCCCGGGAATCGAACCCGGTTCCCCTTTCTTGTGAGGCAAGTGCTCTAACCAATATGCTACAGGACTCCTGACACGAGATGATCTCTGTCAGGCTGACACAGGATCACTACACTTTGCTGTTAAACCCCCTGATTGTTATTTCCCTGATTGAGAGAACAGGGGAAAAAGTCAGCTGGATTCCTGATCTTGCTCAGTAGCCTGTTAGACAATCAATATGTCAGAAAATGGATTGTCACACAGGCGGTTGATGAATCTGAGGCTATAACAACATTCAAAAGAGAATTGTTTAAATACCTAAAGAAGAATAACATTAAAAGGGAAATGGATTGGAGTCGATGGCTCCAGTGGGGAAGCTTCCACCTCCGGCGCTGAACCGACGGGCCGAATGGCTTCCCTCAGTGCTGTAAACCTTCTATAATTCAATATTTGACTATCAGTTTAGGGTAGGTTTGAAGTTGACTGATACGGGACCAATGGGTGTGAGCGGGAGAGGCTCAGCTGCTGGCTCCATATCACCAAGATTTTGTGACTTCAGGAGCGGAGGGAGGAGTTGAGAGAGGGAGAGAAGAAAAATTCCAGTTCGATAATACAGTACTAGTTTGAGCCGCTCTTCCAGAAAATTGCTGTAAGATTATTTTAGGTTAAAACAAAGGAACCCATGGGGAGAAATTTCATCTGAGTCTGTACGTTTCTCTTAAGAACTACAGAAAATCAACTTCAAAGTTAACAACACGACCAAATTACACTTGTGAGGCGCCTTTCACATCGGGAGGATGTCCCAAAGTGCTGGGCAGTCGAGGACGTGCACCCAAGCTGGAGTTGGGATCAGCAGGGGTGGAAGGCAGGGAGGGTAGTGGCAGGAGGTTTAAGACTCAATTTAAAAAATTGTCACTGTAGATACTGTAAAATGTTTACTAAAATGGAGTAAATCCAGCCTCCCCACCCCGTGCCCTGTTGCTAACCTGCACTGTCTGTTGCTCTCTCAGGGAGACGGTTCTGGTGACGGCAGCAGCTGGTGCAGCAGGAATTGCAGCTGTGGACATTGCTTCACACGTTCTAAATGCCCAGGTCTGAACCCTTACACATTTCAGTGGGTTTAATTACCAATGGTCTTTTGTGCTTCTCCTCGCCTATGGTACAACTTGAGAAAACCACAGGTGACGTATAGAAATAGTCTTTGAATTCTGGACAATGCACAATGATAGGATGCGACCTGAGTGGTTCAGTGGCCGAGAACAGCTATTAATCCTTGGTTCTGGTTTTAATCCGCCCCAGAGTAACGAGATGAAGGCCTTGTTTCTCTCTGATGGTCTAACTGAGCATCGGGCCACTCAGCCCAGTTTAGAATTGCCAAAGCCCAGGGGGATGGTTGGAAGAAATGTTTTCCTACAGAACGTTAGATAGAACATGGAATGAATGTTCATCACAAATAGTCATTGAGACTGAGAACAAAACAACCTTGAAGAGGGAATTAGATAAACATTTGAAGAGAGAGAATATGAAAGGGCAATGGGAAAGAGCAGGCAATGGGTTAAGAGTAGATCGCTCCAGTGGGGGAGCACCAGTAGATAAGCTGAATGGCCTCCTTTTGTGCTGTGATTTCTATGATGGTAAAATGCACATTGTTGATCACATTGTCCCTTCTCTGAATGTTGATTTACCTTTGGGAGACGTTTGCATTAGGATGGGGCGTGCAATCGTTTTCTCAAACACGTAATCTACCTGTGCCAGTGAGCCCTTGTGTTATGTCAGTGAGTTTGGTTTCTGTTTGTTTTGACCTGCAGGTCATTGCAGCCGTGGGGAGTGATGAGAAGTGTGACTTGGCTGTGCAGCGAGGGGCCATCGCAGCCATCAACTATACCACCCAGAGTCTGAAAGAGGAGCTGACTGCAAATAAAGGGGTGAATGTGGCCCTCGATGCTGTAGGATACCTCGACATTGAAGCTCTCAGGTTCTCTGATTGTCAGTTTGTTCAACGCCTTTTTCCTGAATTTCCTTTTTGACCATCATCACCATAGCAATGCTGCCACCGCCGGAAACTATGGTCCAGCTGCTCAGATGATCGCCCTTAACATATATGGGTCAGGTGAATGGGGCTGACTGGGGAAGGAAGATGCAATTGGCAATTGGGAAAGGCCATGAGGAAGTGAGAGTCTGTTTGAGGAAGGGGAAGTGTGCAAAGACTTTGCTGATAACATAGACCAAAGTAATAAATGTACCAGTAATGGGTTTTAGTAGAAATATTTCCTTTATGAGCTCTTTGCTACTCCTCCTGCAGTAGGAAACGTGGTCCTCTCCTTCATTTCAAAACGTGTGATTACAGGAACAGTGCGAATATCGGGCCATCAGTGAAATACTATATAGTGTTGAGGGTTAATGAATAAGGGATACCTATTTGTGAATGGTTTTGAAGTAATGCTTGTTGTCCCCACGTCAGGATTTTGAGCTCATAGGGCAGTGCTGGAGGAGTCCTGCATTGTTGGAAGTGCCGTCTTTCAGATGAGTCGTTAAAATGGAGGTCCCGTCTACTTGTTCGGGTGGACGTTAAAGATGCCATGGCGCTATTTGAAAAGAGAAAGGAGTTTCTCCTGGTGTCCTGGCCAACAATTCTCCAGATAAATTGGTCATTTCTTTCATGGCTGGGTGTGGGACAATGCTGTATGCAAATTGCCTACAAATACGAAGAGACTTCTTCACAGGACAGATGTGAAGCACTTTGACTCAATCTCAATGTAGATGCTGTATCCAATGCAAGCATTATCGTTCTTACTGTTAGTAATAATTATCTTTGCAACTCTACTGAGTACCCACTCCACCACTCCTCCTACACAGCTCCCAGCCACCATTACAGCCATAT